CTTTTTCTTGACCTTTTCGCTTGAAACGTTTTTTCCCCCGTTGGGCAGCATATTACTCTAGATTCTTGAAGGGTGCTTTCATTAATTTATGGCTGAATTATTGGTAGGGTAGGTAGACTGGGAGGTTTGTTTGTGTTTCAGATAATACCGTGAGGCCCCATTTAAGGCTTTGTGGGTACGATTTTCTGAACCCAGTTTGGATCATACACACAGTTGAAAAGCAAATAGATAAAGGGGGAAAAGAAGTCTGGGAAAGAAAGGGCCAGGAGGTATCGAGACGCTTTCCTTTCCCCCCTTTCCAAACGGGCTTGCTTTTTCCACTTGCCGTTTATTTACCTGTTAACTAAGCCGTTGACTTCTGATCTTCCAACTGACGATCATAATAATTACTGTTTCTCGAGTTCCCTTTTCTATGATTGGAGCCTTTAGGATGAACTTTCACAATTCTCATGTAAATTTGGCGATTGGGGTTGCCAACCTTGTTAAATGGTTGATAAGCTGGATGAAATACTAAATGCGGTTGATTCTCACTAATGAAACATTATGCTCGACTGAGTTTATCTTTTGAAGCTAGTATAGTTTGCTTTGACCAGACTGTCGTGGCTGATTCATGTTGGTGTTCGCTCATGCTGTTCTTCTGCAGGTTTATTCTGCATCCCGTGGAAATTCAGGTGACTCTACTCATTCTGACTTTCCCAAGAAAAAGCAACCTCAATCTTCTGACCAACCCTTGAAGCAGAGGCATGGGTTATTCACATTCTGTCAACTTTCTGATTTGCTCCAATGGGTAATTTACTGACTCGTTTGCCTCTTTGTCTTGCTTCAGCCTCCATCCACCACCTGCATTCGGTTCATTTCCGGATCTTGAACTTTCATATGAAGCTCAAGATAAGGATATTGGCCGTGTGATTTACTCTCGGTAACAATTCGTAGCAGCTTTCTCTAGCTTGTGAACTTGTAGTTGCCCTTGGTTTAGTGCATCTCGAATATCAGTTGATTATATTTCTGAAGATTTGATTCTTCTGATACCTCTGTTGTTTACTATGCTGTAGCTTCAGAGTGGTAGTATATTGTTATTACTTTCTTTTTTTTATTCCTTGGGTCCAAGTTGCATAGAATTTTTTTTACGGCTTGTAGTATGCTTATCCTTTTTTTTTTTACATGAAGTAGTATGCTTATCCTTCCTCATACATTTTCCATATACTCCATCTAGGCTTCCATGGATTCCTGAGCATCCCCTTAACTGAAACATAAATTGTTTCTTCGCGACAGGCTTATGCATGAAATCACAATTTCCACGAATGATAAGCCAAAGCTTCTGAGTCAGGTAATCTGGATTTTCTTAACTACAGTGTTATGAAATTCTTTATCTCAGTTCGGTTTCATCCGCTGATTGTTTCGTCTTTCATTATGCCATTTGTTTCAGCTAACTTCCTTACTCTCTGAGCTTGACCTAAACATACAAGAAGCACATGCTTTTTCCACAACAGATGGATACTCATTAGATGTGTTTGTTGTTGACAATTGGAGTGCTGAGGTACACCTCTACCCTTCTCCATGCAGTACTTGATTCACTAAATTTACTTTCATATGTTCTTTGCTCAGATTACTCATTTTAGAGTGAAGGGGCATATTGGACTTGGTCAATTATAATTTTGTTGATCTGGACTGGAGAATATTTCATTACCTCATCATATCATTTTGAGAGTCTGTGTGCTGGGTACTGGAATTCCTCTGATGTATACTGTGTGTTTCTACCTGTTCACACTAGCGTACCATTCTATCGTACTCACAACATCGACTTCTGTTTTGTGATTCACAGGAGACAGATAAACTAAGAGTGGTGCTGGAAAATGAAATTCCTAAGATTGAGGTATCCACTTCAGCCTGCTACTCCATTAATTAGACAGTAGGAAAGTTAGTTGTTTTCTTAATCTTGCCTTAAAAGTCATCTGAACCATAGCCACGACATCTTAGTCTTCAGTTCTTCTGACTAGTCAGCTTACCAAAATCAAATGTATCCAACAATTTAGGAAATTGTCAAGAATTTATCAGCCCTTTTCTATCTGGCGGTAAGTGTACTGCAGAAAAATACGGTTTCGAGATCTCATTTAATTTATCCTATTGCGAAGCAAGAGCAAACAGGAACGAATCCCAGATCTTCTGATATGAGCATCCCAATTGTGCCAATTGATGTTTGGGAAATTGATGCAAGATTGCTGAAGTATGAATACAAAGTTGCATCTGGACCCTATGGAGACATGTGAGTTGTGATCTCTTAAAAATCGTGTGCTGAATCCTGTTATTAGTGCTGCTTATTAATATGACTCTGTCGAAGCAGGTATAAAGGCACCTTCTGTACTCAAGATGTGGCTATCAAACATTTCAGGGCAGAGCACCTATGTGATAAGCTTCGAAAGGAATTTACTCAAGAAATCTTTATTATGAGGTTTGTAAACTATATGATTCTTTTTCCTTGTTTCTTGAAAATTCCCGACAATATCCTCTAGTCGTCATGATAAGCTTGCTATACCTGTGCTCTTCTCCTTGCTATAATTTTACCCGTTTCCTGAGATACGATATCATATGATATTCTAAAGAAATAGACTGTATAAAGCTATGCTGTTATCTAAATCAGCATTTTGGTTAAACGTGTATTAACTAACTTGATGATGGTCCCTTGTCAAATCATCCTCAATGCACGTTTGCTGCATTGAGGTTCAGATGCTAACTTCACTTGTTTCATTTGCTCCGCAGGAAAGTCCGGCACAAGAATGTTGTTCAGTTCATTGGTGCATGTACCAGGCCTCCAAACCTATGTATTGTGACAGGTAAAAGATATTGAATATCTCATAAAATCAGCTGATTTTGTGTTGGTGATTTTTTTTAGGTTGTGGACATAAGGGGTGAAATTTCAATTCATATTCACTTCATCTTATTTTCCTTTCTGTGTATCTTTTTGCACTCAGAATTTATTTCTGGTGGAAGCATGTATGACCATCTGCATAAAAGAAAGGAATGTTTTAATCTTCAGTCCTTACTCAGAGTGGCAGTTGATATATCCAGGGGAATGAGCTACTTGCACCGAAATAACATAATCCACAGAGACCTGAAAGCTGCCAATCTTCTAATGGATGAAAACGGAGTGAGCAATTTGGTGTCTTTTCCTTCTTCCAGTATGTAGTTTCATGTCGCAGTTCCCTTCTCCATGTCATTGTATACTTGAGCTCCTCTCAAGCAATGGAAAAATGAAGATGCTTCACAAACTTTTATGAAAAGCTGCAGGATGAGATGGGAACTCGGTTGCTTATACTTGAATAAGATATATCAAGAAAGCTCAATAGAATTCTATCTCGTTGACCTGCATTAAATTTACAGTAAATTTGGTTTTCAGGTTGTAAAGGTTGCTGATTTCGGTGTTGCCAGAGTGCAAAATCGTTCAGGAGTAATGACTGCAGAAACTGGAACGTACCGTTGGATGGCTCCAGAGGTGTGCAATACCATTCACCTATAGTTTCCAAAGTGGTGGAAGCTTCCTCTCCCTTTCTCTTGCCTCGTCAAAATTCTTCTTCCCTGTACCACCCTTACTGATTTTTATTTTTCCTTTCTCACTCTAAAAGGTTATTGAACACAAGCCATACAATCAAAAAGCTGATGTTTTCAGCTTCAGTATTGTGCTATGGGAACTTCTCACAGGAAAGGTAATGCTAGTCTCCCCTGGTGTTGTATTCAATATTCCATATTCCATATTCTTTATGTCATTCTTTCCAATCTACTTTCTTGGTAAAGGAAAGGTAGTTTGAATAGCTTATCAATTTTCTCTGTAAATTCTTGTTAGATTCCTTATGACAACTTGACCCCAGTACAAGCTGCAGTTGGTGTAGTACAGCAGGTAATCTCCGGTTCTCTTACTCCACATGAAACTGTAGGCATCAGTCAATCTTTCCTTCTTATGATTACACTCTACTTGTAATGACTTGGAAATAAGACGATGAATTAGCCCAAGGCAACTGATAAGCTGGCTTTTCTGATCTATCATTATTCTATAGGGGCTGAGACCATCCATCCCAAAGAACACCCATCCTAAATTGGCAGAACTTCTTGAGAGATGCTGGGACAGAGACCCTTGTTCGAGGCCTGAATTCTCTGAAATTTTGGAACTTCTACAGAACTTACAGAGGATGGTAAACTTAAATTTATAAACTGATACTGAAATTTTCACATTGTAATTTCACTCTATATATTATGAAAAAGGTTCATCTTCGTTCGTCTATAACTCCTTGAACAGGTCTCGGAGGAAGGAGAAGACAGGGCAAAACACAAGGTATCTAGGAAAGTAGTGGCTGCAACAGGCTGAGAACAGGAGTTTGAGGTTGCAAGAAGTGAGGAACATTGTACATAACGTTTGTAGTAGTAAAATTTCACACTTGAGTAACAATTGGTTTCTTTGTTTACTATTTTTGTTTGTTCTAAGTCCCCCTCCCTCCTAAGTTAGTACCCAGTTTTCTCTAATGACTAGTTCTGCTGATGTTCAACTGTTGTTTAGCTTATGAGAGTGGTATGAACGATCTTGAGCTAGAAATCATTGTAGGCTTCCTAACTCCGTGTATTCAGAGGAGTAAATATACAGCTCAAAGTTGGCAAGAGCATGAACTTAACTGTTCGTTTTTGGTTTGGTAACACTTTCACTTGCATCCCAAGACTCAGGTCCCCTGCAACTGCAATAACACTTCTCGAGGCATGATGATGAGGCTGGAAGCTGTAGCAGATGGATTATACACCGTAAAAAGGTAACTCCAGTATTTGATTAATTTTTGCTCCAGAACCAGAACTTCTGAGAGTCTAACTTTATTTCCTTGACTTGAGAAGATCATATCATTGAATGTAGGTTCATATTAAAATAAAGATTGTTTAGTGGAGGAAGAATAACTTGGATTGTCTGTGCACTGTCTGGAATGGCCCAGAGGACAGAATATATGCCGTTACTATTGATAACACCTGTGATTGTAATACGCATTAAATTGATAATCACTAGTTGCTTGTAGCATCTTCAGTCTATTCAGCTGATATGGATCACTCTAATAACTCATAAGGACCTGTTCCCCCTCACGTGGCTTTACACTTCATGTTGCAGTCGTCAATTTTCTACGTTTCAAGTTCACAGCTTAGATTCTTCGATCATGGACTGTCTTTAATTTGCATTTCATCTACATTTCATTAGATGAGAATCATGCAGCAGTTTTTCCAGACCTTATGTGGGCTACATATATATGAGCTGACCCACTTTCAGAAACCATTAAGCATCCACTCAAGAGCATTCCCTCCAATGGAGACATTGAGAAAGTCCTTGAAATCTTGCTGTTCTCATTCCAAACTGCAGCAACAGCATGAAGCCCTCTTGGATCACAGTGGTGGCCAGGAAGCGCAGTCGGTGGTTGATATTCATACTTCCACTCCCTGCGCAGAAACAACGGGGGTTACTACTGCTGCTTCAAACCCCAGCAAACCAGCAAAGCAGAAGGTATCCTTCGCCAAAATCGCGGAGGAAGCCATGTGGCGCATACCAGATAAAGACGGCCAACTGTCTCACAACGATCAATCCTTACGTCGTAACCCATGGAGGTCACTCATGATTAGAACGAAGTCCAGACTAATTGAAGACGAAGACGACAGAACAATGAACTCCGACGATATTGAATCTCCAGAAGAAGACTGTGTCAAAGAAGAAGAAGAAGACAAGGATGACCATGAAGATGTCTCAAACAACCACCACCTGGAAACCAGTACTTTCGCAATGCTCGTGTGGCAGTTGCCTCTCGTATCATCTCTCTTAGCCTTAGCTTCCACGCTCAGCATACCTTCCATGAGAAACCAAACTCTTTGTGATCTTCCCTTATGGAAATGGGAGGTCATGGCTCTGGTAATCCTGGGGGGAAATTGGGTCTCCAGTTGGTTGATCAAGCTCGTTGTGATCCTCATCGAGCAGAACTTCCTACTCCAGAAGCGAGTTCTCTACTTTGTCTACGGATTAAAGAAGGCTGTTCAACACTCTATCTGGTTAGGCTCAACTTTACTCATTTGGCACTTCATCATCTTCGACGACAAGATTGAGAAGCAGACTCACAGCAAAATCTTGCCTTATGGAACCAAGATTTTAACTTGCCTTTTAGTTGGAACTTTGATCTGGCTGGGTAAGACCCTCTTCGTCAAAGTCCTCGCCTCTTCCTTCCACGAGAACACGTTCTTTGAGCGAATCCAGGAGGCGTTATTCAATCAGTTCGTGATCGACACACTCTCTGGTCCGCCTGCTTTTGAAGGAAATGAAATGAGGTATGGGAGGAAACTGGAGAAGTACTCCACCATTGGGAACAGGTCGAGGTTTTCGAGAAGGAACGAGGAGATTCCCATCGATGAGCAGCAGAATCTGAGCAAGAAAAACATGTCGGGCTGGACCATGAGGAGAATGATCAATATTGTTCGACGAGGTTCATTGTCTACTCTGGATGAGCACGTGCTTGATTCGGACACGACAGGTGACGAGTCGTCCTTGCATATAAGGAGTGTGTGCCAAGCAAAGGCAGCAGCCAAGAAGATCTTCACCAATGTGGCTGCTCCAGGATCCCAGTAAGTTCTTCAGTTTTCCCCAAGTTTCAGTAGGTTATCTAATCAGTCATCAGATAATCGCCTTGTCATTTATTTTCAATGGCCAGGCATATTTTCGTTGGGGACCTGATGCGGTTCATGGGTAAAGAAGAGGCTTTGAGGGCCATGCATCACTTCGGACCAGCTTCTGAGAATGGAGGGATAAGCAGATCATTGCTCACCGAGTGGCTGGTAAGAAAAATATATGAATGTCAAACCATCATCCCCTGCCTCTTTCAAGACTTTATCATTGCTCACTAAACTCTGCCTCACAGGTGAATGCATTCAGGGACAGGCAAGCCCTCGCGCTGTCCCTGAACGACACGAAAACAGCAGTGGACGAGCTCCACAGCCTGCTGAACGTCATCGTAGCAGTGATCATCGTAATAATCTGGCTCGTCATGCTGGGAATCCCCATCGCCCACTTCCTCGTCCTCTTGAGCTCCCAGATCCTCTTGGTAGGATTCATCTTCAGCAACTCCTGCAAGACCACGTTCGAGGCCATCATTTTCTTGTTCGTCATGCATCCCTTCGACGTCGGCGATCTGTGTGAAGTCGACGGCGTCCAGGTTACCCCATCGTCCAATGTTTCATTTCCCTTTCCAAGAACTTCTTTCACCTTCCTCACGTTTTGATTATATACAGATGAGAGTGGAGGAAATGAACATCTTGACTACAGTGTTCTTAAAGTCGGACTACCAGAAGATCACGTTCCCAAACAGCCTTTTGTCGACCAAACCGATCTCCAACTACTACCGCAGCCCCGATATGGCGGAGGCGATCCACCTCTGCGTCCACATCTCGACTCCACTGGAGAAAATCTCCGCCTTGAACGACCGGCTAAAATGGTACGTGGCCTTCTCCCTCCTCTTCGTCCAGCATCCCGCAGCTTACAAAAAGAATTGATGTGTTCTACTTCTTCTTCCCCCTTTCTTCGGCAGCTACGTGGAGCGCCACAACCAGTTCTGGCACCCGACGGCGTCGGTCACCATAACAGAGGTGGAAGACATGAACAAGCTGAAAATACAAGCGCTGGTGAGGCACAGGATGAACTTCCAGAACATGGGGGACAGATTCGCGAGGAGAAACCATCTCATTCAGGAGCTCGTAAGAATGTTCCGCGACTTGGAAGTCGAGTACCGGTTGCTCCCGCTCGATGTCAACGTGCGAAATCTCCCGGCTTCCAATTGAGGGTAAATACAATTTAATATCCAAACCTTTCATTTTAAACAATATAATAGCCAAACTTTTTCGAAAACAATCTAATATCCAAATCATCAACTTTCTGTCTGTTTGACCGTTGGTTGACACTTCAAAAACGCTTTCTTTAGGGGAAATTGTCACAATACAACTTTGTTTTCTTGTTTTGGCATTGCAGATGACTGAATATTTAGATATTCTATACCATCATGGTGGAGTCATGGACTGATCGGGTTTGGAACCACGATATGTTGGTGGTTTTCCATAGAAGATATCGATGGATATTGATGAAGCGTCGTACTTCGAACTTTTTTGAAGTGTCAACTAACGGTCAAACGAACGGAAAGTTGACGATTTGGATATTAGATTGTTTTCGAAAAAGTTTGGTTATTATATTGTTTAAAATGAAAGGTTTGGATATTAAATTGTATTTACCCTCCAATTGATGAACGAGGTAAGAATTGGTAATAAGTAAAAATAAATAAATAAATAAAAGAAATTCGAGAAAAATTAGTAATAAGTGGAAAAGGAATTTTTATTCTTCACCCGCCGAGGTGGGGACCAGCATCTAACCATCGCAATTCGCAATGAAGAAAGGGATAAAGTGGAAGTTGGCAGCTTCTTCCAGCTCACACCTCTGTTTCTCCTTCCTCTCTATTTATCTATCGTGTGGTGTAGAGCAGAACACAAAGCCAAAGAAGCTCTTCTTCCCACCCTGCCTTCTCTCTGCCGCCAAATCTACAATGGCAGCGGTTGCTCCGGTGAAGGTCTACGGCCCGCCGCTGTCGACGGCGGTGTCGAGGGTGCTGGCTTGCTTGATAGAGAAGGACGTGGCGTTCCAGCTCGTCCCCGTCAGTATGGCCAAAGGGGAGCACAAGAAGCCTGATTTCCTCAAGCTCCAGCCTTTCGGCCAAGTCCCTGCCTTTCAAGACGACTCCATTTCCCTCTTCGGTTAGACCACATTTCTCTCTTACCTCTTTGTTAAGCAAATCCAAAATAGTATTGAAAGTTTATGTTTTTCACTAGTCACTGCATGGTTTCTTACATACAGACTGTTGAATTTTTTTGGGTAGGAACAGACTGTTGAATTTGTTAATGAATGACTCAACTTTTTCTTGGTGGACTTTCATTGTAAGAGCAATACACAAACAAGTGTAGTTGCGACTTGTGGACTTGATATAATGTGGATAGAATCACTGTCCTCTGTTTTTGCAGAGTCGAGAGCAATCTGCCGGTACATATGTGAGAAGTACCCCGACAAGGGCAACACGGCGCTCTACCCTGCAAACCCACTAGCCAAGGCCTCGGTCGACCAGTGGCTGGAGGCCGAGTCGCAGAGCTTCAACCCGCCCAGCGGGGCACTCGTGTTCCAGCTGGCATTCGCCCCTCGAATGAAGATCCCTCAGGACCAGAAAGCCATCAAGCTGAACCAGGATAAGCTGAAGAAAGTGCTGGATGTGTACGAGAAGAGACTGTCGGAGAGCAAGTTCCTGGCCGGAGATGAGTTCTCGTTGGCCGATCTTTCTCATCTGCCGAATGCGGATTACTTGGTGGATGTGGCTGGGAAGGGGGAGGTGTTTGGTTCGAGGGAGAATGTCGGGAGGTGGTGGGAGGAAATCTCCGGGAGGGAGGCTTGGAACAAGGTCAAGGAGTTGAGGAAGAGTGCCTGAGCTTGACTCTGTTTTCCCCTTTCTTTAAAGAAATAATGAGTGCCCTTTCTTGATTGTGATAATCCTTCAAATGAAAAGTTATGAATTGATAGACGAACCACGATTTAATCTTTTGTAATCTTCCATGTATTTTGTTCATTGTAATGGGAGTGGCATATAAATTCAATATTTGATAAAAGGAATTAGTACCTGACGGAAAAAGGTTGAAGTTTTAGGAAATGAAAGACTCTCAACCTAACGAAAAGAGAAAGTAGTATCTCGTCTTTATACACTTCAAGAAGAACTATAACAGGATTCAATTCAACAATCGCCATCTACACAATAGCACAATGTCCTGCTAAGAGTACATAAAGCATATCATACTTTCAGTCTAGATTTGGTTTTACACTTGATTGATTTATCTAAAAGGAGAAGGAAGTCGTGTTATGTGAAAAACTTCAAGCTATCTTAAACATTCCATTCCCAGATGCCTTTCTTTCCTACAGGCAGCCTGAATGAAACGACTGTTGTTTCGATTAAGTTGGACGGCGAAACTTACACAGAGAGCAACAGCATGATGATTGTGCGTCTCCACAGTGTCTACAAATTCAGATCCTATGATGTTTGGAATCTTGATATACATTATGCACACACTAGAGTTAAAAACATAGGAATGGCTGGCATGACATCAGAGGAGATTGAAAATCTAGTGTAAGAGTACAGAAACAATAAGCAAACCCTGAAGCTGGCATTGATTTGAGGGTTAAACCAAAAGACACATAGAAGTACATAGGATAGATTTAGTAGAGACTAGAGAGCCAGGTCATTGATGTGCTCAATATAGTTAACTACGAGGGGTGTTTCTCCTTCAGGTTCATTTGCAAACATGGAGACTGAAGAGACCAAACATGGTTGGACAAAAAGGCCTAGTAAATGGGAACCTGTGTCATTTGCTACTACTTCTTCTGACAATATAGTGAGGCAGCTCTGGGTCAACATCTATCCAGCAAATTGACTCAGAAGCCTGAGATCAATAAGTCATCTCTCTAACCAAAATCTCCACACAGTGATACTATGTACAAACAAACAAACAAACCCTGCTCCGTCTCTCTAGAAACATGGAAATGAATCTGAAACTGAAGGTTAGCATGCAGAAGAGAGACCTGAGATTTTTTAAAAACTAGGTTCTTATGAATCTGAATGAGCAAGCTCTTTGTAAACATCAAGCAATGGGAAGATCCTATTCAAGCGCTTGATCGAATCCTCGGATATGGCTCTCATGCAGTGAAGAGAATTAGCCAAATGCATTGCTTCAGTACGCGAACCTGCGAACCCAATGCCTTCAATCAACAACGTGTAAGTGGTTTCATTAGGCCGGCAACCCTTGTCGACCATCGATGCCAGCACGTCAATGGCATCACTGATCCTCCGAGTCTTGCACAGCCCAAGAAGAACAATGTTATAGCTGATCACAGTTGGCCGACACTTGCTTCTCTGCATATCTGCTAGCAGCCCTATAGCTTCATCCACCAACCCATCTCGGCTCAAACACGAAATAAGCGAGTTGTAAGTGATTTCATCTGGACCAATGTCGTTACCAAGCATTTCCAGAATCATCTCCAAAGCTCTATACCTGTCTCCAGAGTTCCACAGGGCACTGAACATGGTGTTGTATGAACTGACATCTGGTGGACAACCCACAGCATCAAGCTTCTCGAAAATCTCCAGAGCATAATCCGCATTCCCATTCTTGCATAGCGCAGCCATTATCGTATTATAATTCACAATATCTGGCAAGCAACCATCGGATATCATGTAGTTCAAGAACTCGATTGCCATATCTAGTCTCCCTTCCCTGCAGAAAGCAGAAATCAACGGATCATAGCAATAAGCATCAGGGGTCAAACCCTTTTCTTCCCTAATGGTCTTCAACAAGTGAACTGCTTCATCAACTTTCTCGTCACGGCATAACATGCTAATCAATATGCTGTAAGTAACAATGTTAGGGTCACAGCCTCTTGAGAGCATCTCCGACATGAGTTTTTCTCCTTCATTCCATTTCCCTTGACCAAGAAGTACTCGCAAGAGTATGTTGTAAGTAACAGTATCCGACCTAAATCCCCTAGAATTCAAGCTCCTAACAAGCTCGAAAGCTCGATCAACCATACCTTCTTTGCACATCCCCCTAACTATAGCATTGTAAGTATACGTATCCGGTTGAAGCCCTTTCGCCAACATCTCATCTAAGAGCTTCATGGCCTCATCAATCCCACCTTCGAGAATGGTGGCTTCAATCAAAATAGTGTATGTAATCACAGTTGGCTCACAATCATCCTCCAGTAACTCCTCGAACGCCTTAAAAGCCAAATCGAGCTTCCCCCTGCTGCAGAATGTCCCAATCATTATGTTGTAAGTGACAACATCAGGAGAGAACCCTCTGCTACGCATTCTATCGAGCACCTTGTTGGCCTTGTCAATCTGATTAGCTTTACAGAACCCACTAATCAGAGCATTGTAAGCGAAAACATCAGGCTTCCCGTACTTCTCCAAGATCTCCATCACCCTCACGGCCTTGTCGAACTTCCTGGCATTGAAGAACCCTTTCATCAGCTTCGTGCACATGACCACGTCAGGCGCGAAGCCTTTGCCGACGCTGCACTCAAGGAAATAGAGGCATTCGTTGTACTTGCCCGCTTTTCGGGACCGGTTGAGCAGTTTGGCCATATGGGTTTCCTTGCAGTCAGGAGGCGGGAGATGGGTCGGCGTCGGACTCGGAGTCGTCTTCGATGATAGACTGCCCCTCGGTGAAGTTCTGGAGTAGCCGTTGCCGCCATTGAAGCTAGGTTTTATGCTGCTGAAACCCACTGATACTGCGCTGTAGTGAAGGGAATGTGAAGCGGGCTGCGTCGCTAAGGAGGTGGAGTGGAGACTTTGGGGGATGAAATCAGTGGAAAATGCGTTCATGGTAGTGATTTGAAGTTGAAGATGGTCCTGTCGACGTTCATGAATTGTGTGATGGATAACTCTATCCAGAAGGGCAGACAGTAAATAAGAAACAGGGAGGAGGAGAAGAAGATAGAGAAATGGATGGATGATAGCGCATTGGTTTGCTACAAATAAGCGAATGTCAAGAAGAAAAATATGCCACGTCAGCTACTACTAGCCGCACATCGGGTGGTCGCTGTAAGTTGCCCCGCCCTTTTTAATTCATTAGCATTTTTCATTTTTGTCTTTTTTATGGTAAACTACTCAAATGTTTGTCCTATTTTTTTTAGGCAAAATACACTTGTGTAGCCAAAACTTTGACGATTTGGTCAAATATAGCCACTTTTGGTGAAATACCAAAAATAGTCACTTCCATCCAATTCTTTGACGGTGTGAGTTAACGTGCTGACTAGACTAACCGATTGTCCGATCTGTCCAGTAGATATTTTCCACGTGGATTTAATTAAAAATTAATAAAGAATAATATTTAAAATTTTCAAATGGTCGTGTCTTTTGATTTATGAGAACTAAAAATAAATATAAATAAAACAAAAAACTTCTCTTCTCCCAACCTACCCTCTGTTCTGATCGCCCTTCGCTGCTTCATCCTCCTTCCTCTAATCCTCGCCCACGATTTATGCTCCCTCTCCGACATATCGCCTCTGTGGACAACCAGAAACAAAGATGCTCATTTGAACCAATATCCCACCTCTCTCGTCAACCCCATATCCACAAAGCTACAAAAACCCCTCTTCCATCTTCTTTTTTTCAACAACTATCACCTGGAGCTGCAGTTTAGCTAGGCTCTCTAAGTTGGGGAAAACACAACGAAGGAAATTTCAATTTCCCCACCGTGATAGCGACCGGATCGTCGGAGAAGAAGCCAACGTAGAGATCTGTAAGATTGCGCATAGATCTGCAAAGTGCGCAAAGCTACAATCGTCGCCAGCTCCAACCCAAACCATCATCTTTGGCGGATGAAAATTCGATTCAACTTTCTGCCACACAAAATCCCTCCGGTCAGCCCCTTGGCCGACTTCTTCTGCTGCTGCTTCGTGGAGAAGCAACGACGTCTCAGATCACCCTAAATCGAAGAGGTTTGATTGTTGGATTTGGGATAGTGACGATGAAGTAGAAGATCCGGACGATATGTAGAGCAATCACCCAGCTGGGTTCCTGTAGAATCAAGAAGAAAAGACACAAATCCCAATAGAATCAAGAAGAAAAAGGCAGCTATAGGGATTCCAAACGATGGCGCAGATTGATAGAGGAAGTGGTGGAAGATGTTTCTCCCGTAGCGACGGCGTCCCTTTCATTCACCCATCCCTCCCTTTTCACTTTCCCCTTTTATCTCTTTGAATCCCTAATTTTCCAAACCACTACTGCCGCCGATTCCGCCGCCACTGCCCCGACACCACTTCCCTCTTCGCTCCCGGGGTTGCCCAGCCACAATGCCCTCCTTCCCGACGAAAATCCAAGCGGGAGTGGAGATCGATTGACGCTGGAACACTTGTGTTCGGCATAGCTGGGTCTTCGCGGCTGTGGAAGCGGCGCAGGGAGTTTTTGCGGGAGTGGAGATCTATTGACGCGGGAACACTTGGGAATAAGCAGCCGATGACAGGGAGTGGCAGTCTCAAATACAGCAGCCGTAGACGAACCCAGAAGCAGAATAGTGAGCAAATTGACGAACCGAAAGTAGAACGACGGATCTCAAATAGAGCAGTCGCAGACGAACCCAGAAACATAATAGAGAAACGATTTTCTTTTCTTTCTTTCTTTGTTTTTTTTTTTTAATTTCCTTTTTTTCTTTATGATTAATATATGAATTTTTTATTTGTTTTTAAATTTAAAATATGACGTGTCACCTACGTGGCGAATGTGGCTGATATGTCGCTGACGTGTGCGATGATTTGGCGTCCTAGTCAGCCTAACGTTAAACTAACTGACGGAGTCTCTAACACCGTTAAAGTTTGTAACGGAAATGGCTATATTTGGCACAAAAGTTTCAAAATTCTGGCTATAAGTGGTATTTCTCCAAATTTGGCTATTATTGGCACAAACGTGAAAGTTTTGGCTATACAAGTGTATTTTGCCTTTTTTTTATTATTAGTCAAACTTATCGAATTTCTAATATTTAGTCAAATATTTTATAATACATAAAAATATTATTCATTTTTTAAGTAATTTGCTAATACTATTTTAACTTTTTTGTTAGTTAAAATACTAAAGTTTGAGAATGTTAACCTCTATATGTCTCTTCTAATTGAGTATCATGCTGCTAAGTCAATATTACTGACAAAATTGTTAACTGAAAGTTAACATGTAGCTAATTATTTATTAGTAAATAAATAGGTTTGGTTAATAAATTGAATTATTCATGAAAACACACACATGGCATTCCAATAACCTCAATTTATGACCTTGATTCTAAATATGTGTAATAAGATAAGTGAAAAATGTAAATTAATGAAAATATATATGAGGGTGACGATATACATAAGAGATACAAAGAGCTAACTATACGCATAGAATACATTATGATAATTAGAATGCACTACCAAGCAGTGGCGGACACAAAATTTCTTGGATAAATATGTCAAATGATAGAATAAGTTAAAAAATAAAAATAATTAATTAAAAATAATCATAAAAATTTATTCATAAAGTTCACAATTCCATTTTTTTTTTACCATGAACCACAATGAATTTCCATATTCTAAAAGATTTCTTGATAACATTTTTCGCTTATGTTGCAATTCAAACCTTTTTTATGCACATACAAAAAAGTATTCATAAATTAGTCTCACAAATTATTTCGAAGACTGTTCTTTATTAAAATCATATATGAAAAATGTCATTTTCCAGCTTGGAGTTGCAAGAGGTAAAGTCAACACTAACTTAAGATGGGAAAGCTGGAAGAATTGTAGCAAGTGTTAACATGAAAGTTTGAATAGGAATGAAGAGTCACTGGCCCAAAGCTGATAATTGAAGGGTGGAGCGGAGGACAGAGAATTGCGAAGCAGGGGTTGGAGATATTTCCCCCCTCTCGACACTCGACGTACAAAAAAAGGAGGATGAAATGTGAATTAAAAGGGGTAAAGGGATGGGCATGGTTTAATGTTTGTGGAGATGGATTTTTAATTTTTACCCGATAAAAAGGAAAGTGATGCGATAAAATGTGCATGCAAATTACTGATCGAGTAATAAAAATGAGTATAGTATCGTCCTACGGGGATCGATATAACTCACTCATTAGTCATTAATCAATATAATTATCATTCAAATGAACATGGTTATCTCTAATGTGATAGGCTGATAGCTATCTCTCTCTCAATACTCACTACTAACTAGTCAATTAATTGTTTACTTTTGTACAACCAACCAATTAACTACCTAGTTTGAAGTTTGAAAACTTATAAACTTACAAATTTTAATAAATTTATGACAAAAAATTTTGTAACGTAATAAAGTATCTATAGTTTTCTTAGCATGCTTACCCATCAACAAGCAAGGTAATACAATAAGTTGGGGTCTATAACAAGTAAGTCATAGATGTTGAAGGGTGAACTAGGGCACATTTGTGGTTTTTTATTTAACCCTGATTGGGTGGATCATAGAGCCGGTTTCTGTCTGTACTTTTAGTGTTAACTTTGGGGACAAGCTACGGTGCTAATCCTATAGGGGGTTAGCACCGTCCTAACCCCAATGGTAACACGAATGGTTAAGAAAACACTAGGGGTAAGTTAGGGAGAATCATTATTAAATATAATTTTCCGTTTTTAATTTTAATCTGTTTGTGTTATTAGCGCTGATTTTTAGGGATTTGGGACGTTTAGGAGTTTTGATTTTTTTATTAGTGATGTACTCTCTCCCGTTTCCTCTGATTCGTGGATAGCTACAGCGCCGGTGCGGGAGAGAAGAAATCGAAGGGGAAGAAATCGAAGAACAAATATCTTCGGAGGTGTCGTCGGAAACGGCGGTGAGAAGGTTTATTGTTGATTGTGACTGAATCCGATGAAGTTCCGGTGACGACCGTGGCACCGGAGATGGACGCTGCGGAACCGGCGATCGACTTGTCCATCGTCTCGGTTGAAGTGGGAAAAGCGAGGGAGGAGATCAACGATGGTACGGCGTGGTTTCAGTGACGTGCTGTTGTGAGGATATCAGTGACGTGCTGTTGTGGTGGAAATAGTTGTTGTAGTGTTTTTGCATGGAAGTGTTTCTCGTTTGGTAGTATTTTGTTATTGATCATAGTAGTGTTTATGGTCATAGTTTTCTTGGGACTATGTAGTCTCGTAGATATTGAGGTGCAATAACTTGGTAGTAGTGGTTTTTAATAATACGTGTGTAGTGTTTGTATGAATACGTGTGTAGCGTTTTGTGATTGACGTGCCGATGCTTGTGTAGGGTTTACTATTAATGGCATGGAAGTAGATGTAGTGTGATTTGTACCTATTGTAGTGTTATCATATATTGTGTGTGGATGAATGTGTAGGGTTTTGTGTGTGTAGTATTTTGGGAGTCAGTAGAGTGTATCGTATGGTGTTTTCGGTTGCGTACAAGTTCATAAGTAGGGTTTTTGTAAGCATGTAGAGTTATTTATGTTGTAGCGATTTTGCATGTTTGCATGAAGAGATGTTGCGTACGAGTTCATAAGTAGTGTTTTTGTAAAGATGTAGAGTTATTTATGTTGTAGTGTTTTTGACATATACTGATTAGGGTGTAACCTAACACGAATCACTACCAACGAAACAATAACAACCACAAACGAAAACACTACGAACTGACCCATCGATTGAATACTATCCACAAACGAAAACACTACGAATGAATGGCCATCTGGATTCACTGTAAACTGAACATCGTCGGAAAATAAAAATTCATCCCACTCCGATCAGAACCCAAAACAGAGCTAGGATACAGCAACCTACATGCAACCTCCATTGAAGACAGATCTTGAACAAAAAAATAAAAAATAAAACCCAGCAGGGAGGGCGACATGCAATGGAAAGACAAATCATAAATCCAAAAACAAAAAACAAGAATAGGGAATGGAGCATGCAATGGCGCCTAGTACATGATGGAAGGACGATTGACGAGACTTGACTATTACCTGAGGCGGGGACGATCTCGGATGAGCAGAGGGCGGCGACAAGGTGGGAAACTCGGAGGGCGGCGACGAGGGCGGACAAGCGGTGACCGTCGTCGAGTTAGTAGGAGCAGAGGAGGTCGCAGGGAGTATTCGGCGGCGACGAGGTCGGAGGAGCGGAGGGTTGCGTCGCCGAGGATAGTTCAGGCGAACAACGGCCGCAACTCTCGGCTTCGCAGGGAGTATTCGACGGCGACGAAATAGAGTGGAAATTGAGAAGAAAGAATCTCCCAAAAAAACGAAAGTGACTGTTGGGATCCCACCACACAAATCTCGGTTGATTTGAAGCAATGACGTCAACTAATTACACAGACCTTACAAAAATACCCTCACAATAAAAACCCCTTTTATCAGCCGAAAAAAAAAGGAAATTAATATATGGGGTTAGAACGGTTCTAACGGGATATGGGGTTAGAACCCCATCCCTTAACTTTGAAGTATGAATCAATTAAAATAGACAACAGCAGACATCAATGGCGAGCAGAACCAAACCAAAAATTTATTCAGGCTTCCAAATGGAGAATAAATAAGTCAATGTACTGATGTTTTGGGCTAACAATCCCTTCACTGCCCGACCAAAACAAGGCCGATAGGACCCGTTACAGAGTGAAACAATTGATAGGCCCATTACGTATGGCCCAATCGGAAAAATTAATTTAACTGAAATTGGTGGGGTGCGCCAGGCCCTTGCAGTAGTGCAACGCATGGGCGACACGTGAGAAACCCCTGAAGCAAGCTCCAGCAACGGGCTTCTCCCCCTAAAAAAATTAATTTAATATCGTGTGGGCCATTGGCCCACATATCAGATATTAAACTGATAAGAACAGATACTACACTTGATCTTAGCCAAAAGGCCGAGAAAGGTATGAATTGGGCCTGCAGCAGAGCTCTCCTCATATTCCCACGCCCCTTGTTTCACAAACTATGTTAAAGCGATGTGGTAGGATTCTAGTTCCTTCAGAATAGCAAGTGGAGAGGTCAGAACCAAGAAGCAAAGCCTAACTGCTGTCTCCTTCAAACTTGGCCATGGCTTTTGTACCTCAAACTGAAAATGTTCGTCTTCTAAAATAGATTTGTGGGATTGACCGCCTTAAGGTGTGTGTTTATATACTTCATCCTTTTAGTCGTAGGATCCAATCGATACTGTTCGCTCTTGTTATGGAGCATTACATTGCCGAAGATCGACTGCAGCAGTTGAGTTCATGGGTATAAAGCTGCTGTTAGTTTTGTTCGCTCTTGTTATAGAGCATTTATGTTGCCGAAGATCGACTGCAGCTGTTGAGTTCATGGGTATACAGCTGCTGTTAGTTGTGGCTATCTTTTGCCTAGTGACCAGTCATTCGTTGGGGAAGCGTACAAATTATAAGCCATTCGGTTGGTTCCTTTCTCGTGGTACAGACAACAGCTTCGAACCTCGTCTAATTTGGAGTCTCGACAGTGATTTCCTCCTCGTAAGGATTTGAAGGTTGCGATTAAGAGGAGAGTGACTGGAACGGAGTAAACTAAGATGGGTCATCGCCATGCTTCTAGGAACATCATTCCAGGTGGAGAAATGCACTGGGGTTATCATGGCCTTGATCGTGCATAAGGCTGTTATTATTGAACATCAAGAGCTTCATAGATAGATCATTCGTATCAGACAAGCATGATTCTTATCTGTGTCTTATCTATTGCAAAACTGTTACAATGAAATGTCAAAGTTGCAGTCTTTCTGAATCCTTAATTGCTTATGGTAGAAGCAAATAGTCTTCTGTTTCTCTCTGTCGTCGAAGTATCTGAAGTAGAAACGAATCAAAAGCAGCAGCAGCAGTTATTTGATTGTTGTGGGGAGCCCATTTTCGAGCCATGATATATAGCCACCGGCAACATCGATTGCACGAGTAAACCCCTACAGAAGCAAAACCACAAATCATTTTTCAGAGCTTCCAAATTGATCTATAGTCTTTTTGTACACTATCAGCTAGCAAAGTCCAAACTGAATGAGAGCACTTACAGCAGATTGCATATCAGCAGCAGCCATTAGTGACCTCTTTCCACTCTGGCATCCCTGTGGATCAACAACAACAACAGTCTCAATCCTCTATTAACTAGGAAACAGGAAAAAGCCAAGAGCCGATCTGTATCACACAGAACCTACAATAACAATCTCATCTTCCTTCTCGAACTTCGACGACACTTCGTCCAAGAACTTCGGATTCTTGCTCATCTCTGGAAAGATCATGAAGCAAAAAGTGTCCAATAAGCGATTTATTCATACCCTTAAGCTTCATATACAGGGATTTGGACAGGGTACCTGCTCCTTTCCTGAGGAGGTAAGGAATATTAACAGCTCCAGTGGGATGCCCTGCATCAAACTCCTCGCTTGTTCTACACAACACCAAACAGAAACATTCCCACAACCCAGTAGCTAGCTATTAAGCACAAGCCTTTTTTCTCGGATTGTCATAAATTCATCAGTTCATTCTTCTAACTTGTTCCATTACTGGCTTTCATTTACCTGACATCCAAATACATGTGGCCAGCTCCGAGGAGCTCGTAGGCCGTCCGAACGGCCACCGATCTCGGCGGTGGCCGTTGCTGCGGCAGAGATGGCGGCTGAGATTGTGCTTTAGCGGTTGTTCTGACATGCATTGGGGAAAAAAATTATCAATCAAATTGTCTGGGCAACCCCAAAAAGAAAAAATTAGGCAGAAACTAGAAAGCAGAGCAACGTTACGCACCCATAGTAGCTGACTGGCGGCAAGACATGACGAAAAGCCTTTTGGATTGACGGTGGAAGACGTCATCCTTTGGAGGCGGTTATCTGAAGCCGCGGAAGGAGAGAAGGAGCAAATGCCGCCGCCGCCGCCATGGCAGATTTGAGAGGTCAAGTTTGGTTTCTATGTCGGTTTTGGGACTTAACTTGATTCGATGCGGTCGAAGTAATGAGAGAGAGGGAACGACTAGATAAGTTTTCTCGTTTGGTCCTTTTCTTTTTGGACTCAATGGGCCATGCCTCCAATGTGGAGGATTGGGCTATGCGATAAGATTTATGGGCCTGTTAATTCTTTTCCTAGCCTTTTTTAAGGTTATAGGTATAATATGCCCCTCTATTATGTCGTTTTATCAAACATGTCCCTCTATTATTTTTTACATCAAACATGCTCCTATACTTTGGAAAAATTCTCAAACATACTCCTGTACTTTGGAAAAATTATCAAACATGCCCTTCTATTAAAATTTTCATTTAAAAAATTGTCAATCATGGTTGAACCGAGATTTAGACGGCCCGATATCGGCAAATGGGAGGGAGAATGTCAGTTTTTTCCCCTGTTTTATTTCTCTGATTCTCGTCAAAGTGAAATTATTAGGATTATTTGGCTATATAAAATAACCAAAAAAATTCTAAAGTGAAATTATTCGGGATATTTTAGACATTTGTGCCGCCCAAACAAAAGTTTGGCCGTGGTTAACGGTTTTGGATAAAAATTTTAACATAAGTGCATGTTTGATAATTTTTTCAAAGTACAGGGACATGTTTGGTGTAAAAAATAGTAGAGGGGCATATTGTACCTATAACCTTTTTTAATTATATTTTGGGTTTACAATTGATATACTCGACTTGTAAAATTGATAAATTAAGCCGACAAATATTTACTGTTCTCTACATACAGAAAATAAAGCCAAATACTGAGATGTTTACTGGTTCATAGTGAATAATCATGTGCTAAATGAACAATTATGTGTAATCAAGGAGCTGTTAAAATTGTTTGACTAAGGTGGGAAGTGTTATTTGCACGGCTAGCGTCCCATTTTTCAGAAATGTACTCCCTCATTCAATTTATATATGGATTCTCAGTTTGGGTACTTTGTATATACAAGGTACAATGATATTTATCATTTTTCAAATTTTAGATAAATTTTATATTTAATTTTAGAGAGATTGCACTATATACATTTATAAGGGGAAACGACTAAAACGAACTATTGATATGTGGTGTGTAAATTGAGTTCAACTCGAAACTAATAAGATGTGTTATCCAAATTGATGACCAATCATGTGTAATTACAGGAAAGGGATAAGAGCATTATAACAAATTACTTTTTTTTTAGATGGATGCATATTTGCCTGAGGGGATCCCTTGGTGGCCGAGGTTATTTGTCAAGGGGATGGGAGGTGGTCTGATGAGAAGCTCCGTCAGTGGTTTGACCCGCCCACCTGTAGGGCTATCAAAGCCATTCCTCTTCCTATGGAATGTGGCGGATAAGCTTATATGGCATTTTACAGCTGACGGGGTTTTCTCGGTGAAGTCGGCTTATCATTTGGCTGTCGATTTGGATAGGAGGAGGGGTGGGTGGCGTTCCTCGGTAAGGTGAATGGATAAACCGAGTTGGATAAGAGTGTGGGAAGCGAAGATCCATCCGAAGTTGAAGGTCTTTGTATGGCAAATCCTTAATCGGGCTCTACCAACTATGGAGGCACTTATTGAGAAAAAGGTTCAGGTTTCCCTAGGTGCACAGTTTGCTGGGGTGGCCCGGAGACGATGGAACACTTATTCCTTTACTGTCCGGTTGCGCGGGTCCTCTGGGACTATGCAGGTCTGGAATATTTGGGGGAGGGGTTGCCTCGGCACACTTTTCCTTTGTTTCTCAACCGTTTGTTGGCGCTAATTCATCAACCGTCGTTGGTTATGGCTGTTGTTGTCGTCCTTTGGAGGATCTGGCGTTCTCGGAATTGGATTGTCTTTGAGGGCAAACAATTTGGGATCCCGACACTCATGCGACAGTTTCACCAATAGTATGAGGAATGGGTGGGTCTCCCAATGGATCAGATTTCGAGGATAATTACCCCGATAATGCAACCAACAATGCAGGTGGGTGGTTCCCATTTGGTTTGCATGTGGGACGGGGCTACTAAGTGTGGATCGCATTCGGCTGGTGGGATGGTTCTCCTTGACCCAGCGTGGACGATTCTTCTGGCTAGAGGGGTTCAGTTTTCTCAAATGGATGACCCGGTAATGGTGGAATTGCTTGTGCTTAGGGAAGCTATTATTTGGTGTATGGAGCAAGGCTTGTCGGCGGTCCGCTTTGAGGGCGATGCGAAGGTGGTTATTGACAAAATTAATCAAGCCAACACGAGAGATAGCCGGTTGGGTGTTGTTCTGGAAGAGATAGGGTAGCTCATTTGGTAGCTAGGAAAGCCCTTTCTTTGTTTCCGACTATGAGTCGCTTTTTTGATTTCCAGTCCTGGCTGATTTCCAGGGTGTAACTATCTATCTTTTGATCAATACATAATATTTTTTGACAAAAAAAAACATTGACAAAAAAAAACGTTCAACAACGATTTCTTGTTATTTTGCCAAATCTCCAACTTGTAAATAACATAAGCCAACCATACTAATCAATTTAAAACCTTAAATTCATTGGTAAACTTGTCTCATATAACTATTCCATCAAAAATGGAAACATCAGTCTATAACATAAGCCATCTCTTGTCTTCGTTGCCCAACATCCATTTTTCTATTTCTCCATTCGCCAAAATTGGTGACGACTACAGTCTTACTACGACTGTCTGTTAAAATGAGCAAGTATATCATAGAGCGGCCATTAAAAATTGGTTTGACCATGGTAGGTAGGAAATTTTCTGCTGATACGTGTTCCATTTTTTGTAATTTTGTTCTACACAACTCATTTTATTAATGGTTTGGCCGTTTTCTTCACTGGGATATAAAAAGGTGCACAGAGATTTATTTTCTTACTATGTTTAGATAAGTGTGATAATTGCTTTAGTAAATGCTACAATTTCTGCATTTGGAAATCGGTTGGTAGACAAATTTTATTTTTTATGATTGAAACAAACTATCAATCCGTAAAGTGTGTAAATATAAGTAAAATAGTATATTTGAAGTATGACTTAGTTGCGAGGTAATGAGATGGTTTTCAACGTACTTACTTACTATTCTACAGATTTGAAAAAAAAAAAGAGTAGAGTTAATTAATTTTTACGGTTACGGTTAGTGAAACAATAGTAATTTAATAATTATCTATTAAAATGAGTAAGTATATAATAGAGCAGTCGTTATAAATTAGTTTGACCAGAGTAGGTAGAAGGTTTTGTACGCCCAACACGTGTTTCATTTTTCACATTTGTTCTACCCAACTCAATCTATTAATGATTTGACAGTTTTCCTCTATGGAATGTAAAAGGAACAAAGAGATTTATTTTCTTACGATATTTAGGTACATTTGATAATTGATTCAATTTATTTATGAAATCATAGTTGCCTACTTTGAAGATAAAAAGAAATGTAGCATTTTTCAATATTTTGAGAGATTTTATATTTAGTTTACAGAGATTGTACTATATGCATTTAGAAGAGAGGAAACGACTGAAACAAATTGTTGATTTGTGGTGTGTAAATCAAGTTCAATCCAAAACATGACAAGATGCGTTATCCAAATGACTAGTCATGTGTAGTTACAATGATTGGAAAGGGATACGAAGCATTATAACTGATTACTTACACTATGTTTGGCAACAAGGGGGTGCAAGTTCGAGGGGGTACAAGTTGAGGAGTAAATTGTTGGGGGGTGCAACTTGGTGGAGGGTGTAAGTGGAGGGGTAAATTGTTGTTTGGATGAAAAAGTAGGGGGGTGCAAATAGAGTAAAAAGTAAGTAATTATATTATTATAAAATAGATTTATCAATTTATAAAATATTATCACAAAATAATAACATGAAAATTCAATATATAATCATAAAAATAATAAATAAAAATAATTTTAATAAAAATAATTATTATATAATAATGCTCAAATATAATTAATTATAACAACAATAATAATCATTGGTCTAGCAACCTTGAAACTCGAAATCCAACTCGTAACTGGTCATCCTAAGGGGGTTCTCGTGCCTAACTTTAAATTGAATATGGTCAAACTTAGTCAAACACATTCGAATCTGTAAGTTTTAACTACTTATTAAAGTAAATCGAGTTAACTAAACTGTTCCTCTCTATCTTTTCAACAAATGCTTCTTATCTCTAATTTTCAATGCAAATTCGGGTCAACTAAGAGATATCGATTTGACGAGGCGAACATTGACAAACTTGCTCTCTGGGTCAAACGGTCAACCCCAAACAACTTCTACACTAATATAGATATAAGAAAAAATTAATAATATTGATTATTATGTAATTATAATCTAATTAAAAATTCATAATTCCCCTCCTCCCCCTTCCGCCTCCCTTCCTTCCTTCCCTTGCACCCCAATTTGGGGGGTAAGCCGAAACAGTGAATTTACGCTCACGTTTTGCACCCCTACTGTTACAAAATAACCAAACGGGAGTAAACGACTTGGAACTTGTGTTTACCCCTCCAAACTTGCACCCCCTTCCATTTACACCCCTTCCCAAACATAGTGTTAAAAAAAATGAATACAATGCATCTCAACTGACTATAACAAATTACCAGTGTCACTTTTTTCATATTTATACTCAACAACAGTTCCATGTTATTTTACCGAATCCCCAACTTGTAAATAAACAAATTAACTCAATTACCAACAATACTAATCAATTTAAAACCTGAAATTCATTGGTAAACTTGGCCCATATAACTATACCATCCAAAATGGATCATCAGTCTATAACATAATCCATCTGTTGTCTTCAGTACCCAACATCCATTTTCCCATTTCTCCATTCGCCAAAATTGGTGACGAACCAAAAGTATAAGAAAAAAACTAAGAAGCTTATAACTTTTAAACATAAATCTGTCTTCAACTTGGAGAGAGCCTTTTCCACTACTACTCAGCTGCTCCAGCTCCAGCAGCAGCAGCAGCAGCAGCTAGCTTCAGTCTCTTCTTCTCGTTGTACTCCTTCAGCTGCCTCTTGTACCTTTCCTTATCCTTCATCCCAATGATCTGATACACCTGCACACACATGTCACACACCCAAAAACATAAAAAAAAAAAAAAAAAAATTTTGTAACTCCAGATCAAAACCCATTTCATAATCTTGACACTGATCATTTTTCTTTTTTGACAGTTTTACCGATTTCTCTGATGCACTGAGATTGGTCCAAGCTTGTCCAATCATCTTGGTGAACTCCCTCTCCCTGTTGGGGTGCGTCTTCTTGAGCTGGTAGTGCTGCTCAGCAAAGAAGAAGTTGTAGCCGCTCCTGTTGGCTTTAGGGTAGTCAGGGTCCTCCACCCTTCTGCTGCCCCTTCTTCTCCGGCCGTCGCGCCCTCCGTAGTGCCGGGACCTCTTGGGTGTGTAGGGCACTATGGAGGTGTCCTGAGGAGGAGGAGGGGCCTGGACGGGGACGGGGACCGGAGCAAAAGCCGGGGCAGCAGGGGAATGTGGATGGTACAGAACTCCGTTCAGGAGTTCTGAACCTATCTTCATGGAAACTATGTAGCCCGACTCGAATTTGGCCTCGATCGTCCCGGTTGCTGTGAATGTGGATGGATCTGCATATAACCAAACAATGTACAAGAGGGTCAATTGTAAAACCTACACAGACATGAAAAGAAAGAGGTTTTGTTAGTGGTTGAAGGAGTTGGCAAGGATCGCAATGGTCATGTGAGGTTTTGGGTATTGTGCTTATAGATGTTGGGAGTCGTCGGAACCGGAGCTGGTGCCCTGTCGCCGTTGAATGGATGCGGTGACGATTTTGTAAACATAATATCACTGACTCCAACAGCCACGGAGCGTCGGCTTCAGTCCGACGACTTTCCAACCCTATGTTCTATTTCGACGACTTTTCAACCCTATGTGAAAAGTTATTGTAAAAAGGTTTGTAAGCACCATAAACGAATTTGAGTATGTGTTACCACAAGCACAAAACTAGGTGCTCTCTTATATTGGCCCAATAGTCGCAGATTTTTTGAGAAATGAAATCAAAAGTCATGCTTACTATGTTAAGTTCTCTCCAATATTTTCCAATTTAACTAATAAAAAGTATTCATGATGAGTCATGAAGTACACATGAAACAACATTTTAGAAAGAGACAAAAGGAAACTAAAATTTTGAAAAAGAAAAAGGGGAAGAAAACGGAAGTCCTAAAAGGAAGCAAGAAACATGCAACAAGAGAGGCCATCCCATATAGCCACATATATTTGAGGATTTATAAGATAAAATGTGGTGGAGCCAGCAAATATTGCTACAGAATTGAGAAGTTACAATACAGTCCCCATTGTCAATCAAGCTCCTATGCTACACAAAACAAAATTCAATGCCTAGAACAGTAATTGCACTCACAAAATGCTAGCTCTGATTAATCAGTTTCAAATCATATATAAAGTAGATATATGGAATTTATAAGGTTAGGAATCAGATCAAACATTTGTGGTGTATGTATAGTTGGAAATTGGAACCATGACATGAAAGAAAACAAACCCTCCCCCCCTATTTATCTTCGGGGAAAAAAATCTCCCTTTTTTCCTTGGTCTCAATAAATATGGGATGTAAAATGGTCGGGAAGAATTGGAATCGGCAAAGACATAAATCGATAAAATGTTCCCGACTCTTTCACGATCTTCATATTTATTTTCGTTGTCAATCAAAACCTACGTCAATTTCGATCGACTTTAAACGAACGGAACTATGCACATATGAAAAGAAGAAAAAGCTTTACCTTTAGCAGGGAGTGGATTAGTTGAGTTCGCAGCAGAGTTGGGATGAGGAGTAGAAGAAGAACCTTCCACAACGGCCACTCTGGACTTCTTTGAAGACCGTCTTCCAGACCCACGACGAGATTCTAAATTTTTATTTTTTTAGCCACACAAAAACGAGAATATAACACATTAGTCCCCCAAACAATTTTAAAGTTACAGAACGGTCCATTTTGAAGAACAGAATTTGTACCAGGTTGCTTCCAGATTGAGGCAAAGATTGGCCCCTGGACCCTAAACAAGTGGACTTGTTCGTAATGGTAAAGGGTCTCAAGGTAATTTTTCCTCAGCACGAAGGAGGCACTTGTGGTTGTGCGAGAGAATCGAAACACCGAGCCCACCTCCCTCCATTTCTTCTCCGCAACCACCTGGTCACACCGATAATGTCAAATAATAAGAGTATTTCATTCGACCGGATGGAAAAATTTATCCGAATCTAGTTTTTTTTTCTTTCTTCTAATAAAACCCATTGAATCGAAACAGAATCAAATTAGATTTGGTCTAGGAGTACTCGAACCACATTTACATAAGATAGTACTATAAGATTTCAATTTCGTACCAAATATGTCACGATTCACGAACCATATCGAGCCACATTACCATAACCCAATTTTCCCTCGTCACTAATGTTACAACACATGCGTGACACATTTGATAAACTCCTGAGAAAATAAGGGGAAAATCTCCAAGAGTATACACCGAATTGAAATTCTATTTTTCACATTCCAATCACATCGAAATTCGGTAAAAAAAAATATAAAATACTACGAGAGATATTCGATTGATTGGAAGGAAACCGAGGGGTAAAAAAAAAAAAACTAAAAAACCGTGTGAAATGTGAATACCACTATGATAATTTATCGAAATTTTGTATTTTTATAATGGTAGGGGGGGGGGGGGGGGGGGAGAAAATGACCAAATTACCTTCTCAAAACCGCCTCTTTTCGTGGTCTCAACATAGAGGACATGCAAATCCAGGTCTCTCCCTCCAATCACAGGAATCCTGTTACGAACCCAAAAACAACAACGAAAGAAACAGACGCCATTAACAAGATCGAAACTTTATCGTGAAAAAAAACAGAGGGGAAAAAAAACAGGGTTTGAGATTTTACGAGAAGGTGGTTCCCATAATGGAATGGAAGCGATTGAGAGTGTCCCAGAAGGCGGCACCATCGTTCACCACAACCTCGTGGTCTGCCAACGGAGCAGGGTAGAACTTCCTCACCAGTTCTCCTTCTCCTTCCCCTGAATCTTCCCGCCGTTTACTCGCCGCCGGCGACATTTCTTCTCGCCGGTGTGAGATGGGACAGGCAGGAAAAGGACAAAAGGAGAGAGAGAGAGAGGGGTTTAGTCTTTAGAGAGAGAGATTGGGAGGGGGGAATGGTATAGTGAGGAAGAGAAGAGGGTAATGATGGGAAAGTTAAATAGTAAAAAAAAAAAATGGTGAGAAGGGTGATTTCCCGAGATAAGACTCGCAATTAAGAGAGATGAGCTTTTTTTTTCCTTTTTGATTTTTCTTTTCTCCGGTCTGTGTATTTAGACTGGCTGCTGCAGCAGGCTGCCAGCTTCTCTGTGCGAGAGCAAAGTAGGAATTTCGCTAAGAGATGAAGAGAGGTGACGCGTGGGAGGCAGCGGTTACGCCAATTTCGATTTTTTTTTTTTTTGCACTACCCCCAAAAACCTTATGCTTATGTGATTTTTCTTGAAGTGGCCGATTAATAAGCAACTAAGCAAGAGCCATTAACCCACGTATTTATATTAATCAATAATTAATTAATTAATTAATCTTTGGTATGTGTAGAGATTACCCTGTTTTTTTAGAATTTATGTATTTCAAATTCATATGGTGTCTAAATAGGAGTAATATTTGAAGTGTGACTTAGTTGCGAAGTAATGGAATAATTTTCAACGTACTTTCTTCCTTTTCTTTGGATTTGGAAAAAAAGAGTTGAGATAATTAATTTTTTACTGTTAACAAAACAACAGCGATTTCATAACCGTCTGTTAAAATGAGCAAGTATATAATAGAGCGGCCGTTAAAAATTGGTTTGACCAGGGTAGGTAGGAAGTTTGTTTTTTTTTTTACGCTCGACACGTGTTTCATTTCTCATAGTTTTGTTCTGCACAGCTCATTTTATTAACGGTTTGGCCGTTTTCCTCACTGGAATGTAAAAAGGTACAGAAATATTTGTTTTCTTACAATGTTTAGATAAGTTTGATAATTGCTTCAATGAATGCTACAATATATAAATTTGAAAATCGGTTAGTAGAATGTTGATTTAAAAGAAATTATTGAAACAAGCTATCAATTTGTATAAAGTGTGTAAATACAAGTGTAATAGTACATTTGAAGTATGACTCAGTTGCACGGTAATGAGATGGTTTTTGACGTACTTTCTTACTATTCTACGCATTTGGAAAAAGGAGTAGATATAATATTTTTTTTACGGTTACGGTTAGTGAAACAACAGTAATTTAATAATTGTACGTTAAAATGAGTAAGTATATATTAGAGCAACCGTTATAATTTGGTTTGACCAGAGTAGGTAGAAAGTTTTGTACGCCCAGCACGTGTTTCAATTTTCACATTTGTTCTGCCAACTCAATTTATTCATGGGTTGATAGTTTCTCTCTCTGGAATGTAAAAGGTACAAAGAGATTTATTTTCTTACGATATTTAGATACATTTGATAATTGCTTCAATGAATTCTACAACACCTGCATTTGGAAATAGGTTGGTGATTTTAAAAAAATGTTGAAACAAACTGTCGATTTGTAAAGTGTGTAAATCAAGTTAATTTGTTTGAGTCAGAAAGCACCTCATGTTTGCCAAGTGTCATATGCTTTCGCATTTGATATGTGCAACTAATTTCTTTTATGATATTGCCAATAGTTTTTTATACTAAATTCCAGGATTCATTACACCGGTGCAATTATTTCGCATGATTGTGAAGTAAGACTTACCCGAGAATTAATTAGATGATGTCCAACAAGCTTTTACTGCTCTTGGCACTAATGAAAATGAGTAATTATATAATAAACGAGCCAAAATATTGGTTTAAAATTTAAATATGGTGGGAAGTGTTATAAGCTTGATACATGTTCTATTTTTCATATTTGTTTTTAACAACTAAATTTATCTATGATTTCACAATTGTGCTGGATATGGAGTGTAAGGTGAAAAGAAATGGGTTTCAACTGATCCAGAATCTTGGGCTCCATGATCCGGGTTTCCAAGGTGATCTATTCACCTGGACCAACAAACGGATGGGGGTGGACTGTATTCGTGCACGACTTGACAGGGCCCTTTGCTCTCATAGTTGGATGGATCGGTTCCCGGAGACCCTAGTTAAGCATTTCACGGATCAGGGGTCTGACCATCGGGCTCTTCTACTGTCTGATAAGCCTTATACCCGGATGTGTCGGCCGCTGTTCCGTTTTGATGCGCGATGGCCAGAGAATCCGGAAGTTAAGGCTATGGTGGCTTATGTCTGGCAAGAAAGTATCACTGGTACCCCTATGTTCCAATTATGGACACGATTGAAAAAACTCCGCCACTTGCTATATGATTGGAGTAGAGCGGGTACCACGAATTCCCTGCGAAATATTCATACTTTGCAGAATGAGATTGAGCGTATCAAAGCCGTTCACCCTATTGATTGGCACAAGGTAAATGGACTGGAAATTGAACTGAGCCGACAATGGGAGGCGGAGGAGAGCTACTGGCAACAAAAGTCTCGGGTCCAGTGGCTGAAGAAAGGGGATAAGAATTCTTCCTACTTTCACACAGTCACGAGGGCAAGGAGAAAGCAGAATTATGTAGCTGGCCTTTATAATGATGAAGGAGATTGGGTTACTGAGGAACATGGAAAGGCTGACATTGCCACCAGCTTCTATCACACCCTCTTTACTTCGGAGAATCAGGTGCTCAATATAAATGAACGGGTGGCGGATCTCCCCATCGAGCCTTGTGTCTCGTCGGAGATGAATGCGTTGCTCACAGCAGAAGTCCTCCCAGGCGAAATACAAAAGACGGTCTTCTCTATGGGCTCTAAGCAAGCACCTGGCTCGGATGGCTTTACGGGTAAATTCTTCAAATCATTTTGGGGAATAGTTGGGGATTCGGTAGTCAAGGCATTTGGCTCCTTTTTCGAGACAAATCGAATGCTGCGTAGTTTCAATCACACCTGGTTGACCCTGATACCCAAGGTGGATCAGGTGGAGTCAATGCGTCAACTGCGACCTATAAGCCTCTGTCAATTTATTTACAAGGTGATCACCAAAATTATGGCAGAGAGGCTTGCTTCTCTGTTACCTCAAATCATCTCCCATGGACAGAATGCTTTTATCCGTGAGAGGCAGATTGTGGAGAACATCCTTTTAGGACATGAGCTGATGCACTATTTGAAAACCAAAACCCGGGGGAAGAAGGGGTACATGGCTCTGAAGGTTGACATGGAAAAAGCCTATAATAGAGTCGAATGGCCATTACTTCTGGCGGTTTTGGAGAAAATGGGTTTTAGCTCGGTTTGGAGGGGGTGGATTCAGGAATGCTTGCAGTCCACTACTTTTTCAGTCCTCATGAATGGGTCTCCGGCTGGTTTCTTTGCCCCGTCTAGGGGTCTCCGGCAGGGTGATCCGCTTTCGCCTCTCCTGTTTGTAATCTGTACGGAGGGCTTTGCGGCCTTGTTAAGAAAAGCCATTGGTTTGGGGAAGCTACAAGGAGTGAAGGTGGCCCGCGTGCGCCTCGTATTTCGCATTTGTTCTTCGCTGATGATTCTTATCTTTTCCTGCGAGGGTCCCTCCAGGAATGTGAGAATTTGATTGAGGTTCTCAATGAATACGAGGAGCTTAGTGGCCAGAGGGTAAACTTAGAAAAGTCTGCCGTTTGCTTTAGTAAAAATATTGATTTGGCAGATCAGGAGTTCTTGGCAGCAATCCTTGGCATAGGGGCCGTGGGCGTCCAGGATAAATATCTTGGTCTCCCCTCCCTCATTGCCCGATCTAAGTTGGCGACTTTTCGTTACCTTGAGGAGAAGCTCTTGGCTAGGTTACAGGGCTGGAAACGTAGAACGTTGTCATGGGCGTCAAAAGAGGTACTTATTAAATCAGTGGCCTTAGCTCTGCCGCTGCATGTGATGTCATGTTTCAAGCTGCCTTTATCCCTTTGTCGCCTTCTGGATAAGCATATAGCGCGATTCTGGTGGGGGGTCGAAGAGGGTAAGACGAGGATTCGTTGGGTTTCTTGGCGGAACATGTGCAAAAGTAAGCATGAAGGGGGGATGGGCTTTCGCCGGTTCGAGCATTTCAATAAGGCTCTGCTGGCTAAAATTGGCTGGCGCCTCCTTCAGGATCCTCACTCTCTCCTTGCCCAGGTGTACAAGGGAAAGTATTATCCCAATGGGTCCTTTCTCACAGCGACAGCTAGATCGCGTCCATCGTGGGGGTGGCAGAGCATCCTCTTCGGACGTCAGTTGTTGGAAAAAGGATTACGATGGCAGATTGGTAATGGGGAGAAAGCCCCTCTTCTCACGTCTAGCTGGATACCGCAGCAACATCCCTCCCCTCCAGTCTTTAATCCTTGTGTGCTTCCGGAGGGGGAGGAGTTGACTGTGGCAGAGGTTATTCAACCAGAAGGAGGGGCCTGGTGTGTGAGGAAGTTTGAACAATGGTTTGATCAATAGACTTGCCGAGCTATTCAAGCTATTCCCCTACCCAGGCAGAGTATTGAGGATCGACTGATCTGGCATGCGACTTCAGATGGTGTTTTTACGGTTAAATCTGCTTATTACGTTGCGGTCAACTTGGATCGACAACGAGGTCGTTGGAGGGCTCTGGTTAGCTGGATGGATAAGGCCAGCTGGATCAGGTTGTGGGACGCTAATATCCCGCCTAAGCTTAAGATGTTTCTCTGGTAGTTATTCCATATAATCCTGCCTACTACGGAGGCCCTGATTGAGAGGAAGGCGGAGGTATTGCCTCGCTGTCCGGTTTGTTGGGCGGCATCGGAAACTCTAGAGCATTTGTTTCTGGAGTGCCCGGTGGCCCGAGCCCTTTGGGATCACTCCGGGCTGGCCCACTTGGGCGAGGGACTGCCTCGACATACCTTCCCGCTCTTTCTGAAGAGGTTGATGGCGTTGATGAACCAGCCTGCATCGCTTATGTTGGTAGTGGCTGTATTATGGCGTATATGGCGATCTCAAAACTGGGTTGTCTTCGAAGGAAAGCAGTTTGGGATCCCAGCCCTAATGCGTCAGCTTAATCAGCAGGTCCAGGAGTGGGTGGAGCTTCCGGCGACTCAGGTTGTCCAGTGCCCAATTTCACGCATTCCCCCACTAGATTCAGTGGAGTCGCCTGGGGTGGTCTGCATGTGGGACGGGGCTGTGCGGACTGGGTCCCACTCAGCGGGGGGAATGGTTCTCATGAGCTCTGCTAGAGTGATCCTCTTAGCTAGGGGGATTCCGCTCCCGGGACTGGAGGATCCTTTGGTAAGCGAGGCAGTTGTCTCCGAGAAGCAGTCTATTGGTGTTTGGATAATGGTTTTAGTATGGTACGCTTTGAGGGGGATGCCCAGGTGATCATTGAGAGGATTCTTCAGCGGGAGGCTACAGACAGTCGAGTGGGATCGATTTTGGAGGAGGTGGTCCAGCTGTTTGACATGAATGTGGGATTTACGGTGCGATTTGTAGGTCGGCGTAGCAATAGGGTAGCTCATTTGGTGGCTAGAAAAAGCCCTTTCTTTGTACCCGACTACAAGTCGTTTTGATTATCAGGCCTGGCTGAATTCCAGGGTGTAATTGCCTTTTGTTCTCAATCAATATATGATTATCTTTTGTAAAAAAAAAAGTGAAAAGAAATGGACAACTAATTTATCCTTAAGTTGCATTACTAACCATCCTCAAAGAGCAAATAACCCACCAATTTATTTTGCTCATTTTATCTAGTTATACTATACCAGCATCTTTTTTAACCGTTCGATTTTAACTTTTCATGCTTTTTACCATTCAATTTTACCTGTTACATGAGTGTAAAATATAACTACTCACTCAATTATTAACTTCATATTACGGTAAACTATTATTTTTTTACATTTGTTATTTAGATGATATGGGTTTTTTGCAATTTTTTCGTGTAATTGGACTATAAGGTCAATTGATTATACAACTTCAAACGAGCATGAATTCGATCAAAACCCAAAATATATGAACAATCTATATTATATGAGTACAAAATTTTATCAAAACTCAAAATAAAAACCAACATAAGATATAAACCATTTATATTCGAGATGCCAGCTCTATACAACAACATTTTGTTTTCCGCGTCTATGTGAAGCTCATCTACATTTTTTTTGGTTGAATCTCATCTACATTTCTGGAATGTAACAGTAGGGCATAAATTGAAGTGATTTCAGATAAACCTTTAATCTCTAATTTGCTATGTAATCTAACAAAGTCAGATACTAAATCCCCCAGCCATATATTCTCTAAATTAATCCTAAACAAACTTAATTACTTAATTCTCCCCTCGGCCCTCACCATGTGCAATTAAATAATTCTAAATAAAATTATTAGATACTTAATTCTCCCCTCACCATAATTTCCTTTCACCAAATACAAGAATATTTATAAGGAAAAAATAACATTTCCCTAATTCCCTTTCAACTATCCTATTTCCCAAAAATTTCCTTAGTTTTTTCATATTTATCCTCCCATTTCCCCAAAAGAAATAGGATTAGTAGTAGTACATTTAATTTTACACATAGAAATAGACCAATCTCAATTATTACCCTAAAACCCTTTCGCTTTCTGTGTATCTCCGTCCTGCTGCGGCCCTTCCCCAGCTTTGCTTGCTTCCTACTGCAGTCCCTTTCTCTCGTCTATTGGAAGCCCTGACATAAATCAATCTGTACCTAGTGCCCTTTTATTTTCTTGCGTCTACTTTTTCTAATTTTCAATTTCAATGTAAAATTACAATGAGTAATTGAGTAAAAATTTTAGTATTTAACCTTTATCTACCATTAATCTGATGGACATACAGTTTATCCAGTGTAGTTATTTCAGGAACTACCTACTGCCTAAAGTATTTATCAATTATGTAACCCAAGTTGTTTCACTTCTTAATTGAACGATAACTTCTTAACTGAACGATAAATACCAAAGGGTATTTATCACAACATATGACATATCGTACTTAGTTTAACAATGCTTACTTGTATTTCATAATAGTAAAAACAAGGTTCAATTTGGTTATTACTTATTAATGAAACTTACTTTTTACTTGCTATTATGATCTTTTCGAGGAAACTAGACCGCACAAATAGGGAGATGGATGCGATGACGGACCCATGAAATTTAAGTTTATTTTAATTAAAATAATAACTAAACAATTTTAAATAAAAAAGGATTCGACTATTACAAGTTGCAATAAAATACCAAGATGTGTGTGTTTCGCCTTTTTGGTCTTCGGATGGAGCTGGTGGCAGCTTGGAAGCTTGCGGTTTGTGGATGGAGTTGGGGCCTGCCTGGGAAGCTTTGCAGAGTTGTGGTTGCATTGGCGGAGGAGGGTCATGACTCGTCGGTTGAGCTCGCAACTCGCAAGTCGGTGGCACGACAATCAACAAATTCTATGATGGTGGAGGACTAGAGTCTGGAGAAGTAGAAGCCGATGATTAGAGGGCGGAGGCTGACCGGTGGTGACTGGATTGAAGGGGTTTCACATGAAAGATTGAAGAAAATGAGTCATATCTCGATGCATTTTTTACTTTGATTCTCCAATATATGAAGGTTGGGGAATTTGGAATTCAACATTTGGGTTATCTACTTTGATTCTCCAATATATGAAGGTTGGGGAATTTGGAATTTAACATTTGGGTTATCGATGAAAATTTTGTGGAAGTTGAGGTTTAATGGACGTTTGTTTTACTTATAATCACATTTATGTATTAAATATATTAACAAATAATTTGTAATGTAATGGAGAACATGTTTACCAATAACTGTGGTTTCATGTGTCTATAATTTTCCTAAAATTTAAAGATGTCCAGGGACACCCTTAAAAGACAAGACTCCACCCCTGTATGGACGTTTACATCTTAGTAGTGGAAGTTGAGATTATCTCAAACTTTTACTCTGTTAATACCCTTACCTAAGAGGTCGTTTGGATGGTGAATTAATGGAATTACTAGCGGTGAATGTGAATTTTATAAAACCCACCATCTTAATCCTTTATAATATTATTAGAATCTATTTCATATCCACGAAAACTATTAAAATAGAGAAAAAGGCTAACCAAGTTGAGATTTGGATCCAACCACATACAATTTTGATCGAATTTGACCCTCACCTTTATTTTTATATATTTTGGTATGATCCGTTCTTGATTTTTGACGGTGTTGGATTGCATTCAGACACAATCTCATCTATAACACACCATGTTCTACATTTTTTCCACCGATCATTCACCATGTTGTACATTATCAAATACAACAAATTTTTTTTTTTTCTTTCTTTCTTTTGCTTAACCATGTACTTAGAAGTTACAACGACTCCCTGGATAAATCATGTGTACAAACTACCCTCTCAAATCATCAATCCAATGTCCCAACTCCCAACCACCCCTCAATATAGATATAGGTCATTTGAGTTTTGACACTTTCGTGTTTAATTTCTGGCTCATGCATGCTTTGTGTTTTCACTTTTCACTTTCATAGTTAAGAGAAGAAGGGTGACATGAACTTACCTCATTGGCTCTTTCCCCTTCTGAAAAGATTTAACCCCACAGATATCCTATTCTTCTGACCAAATCTCTTCACACTCTCTAGCCTCTAGCCTCTAGGTATACTATAGTCTATACTCCAATTCTCATCCAGTGCGCTCCGCCCCACCGCTACACCCTCATATAGTGGGCTTGATAAGGCCCAATCCATTTGGAAGAGAACAGGCCCAAGTTAATCATCACATCACGTGTCTTCTGTCAGGCCCATTATTGTGGTGGGAACTGGAAAGACAATCGCCCTGCTGCTGGCCTGGGTGATGGAAAATCTCAGGAAAAAATAGGTGACGAACGAAAACCTAGAAAAAGCAAATGTGAAGTCGGAGACAATGTCGTCAGCGACGATCGAGAACCGAAGAGAGTTCAGAGGATTTCCGGAAAATGTTCGAAGCCGAAGAGAGGAAAATGGACGGAGACATCGTTTGATGGGCGCTAGAGTTCGACATCCTGAAAAGCACAGATAGCAGTCTAGTGAAAAGCCTTTTCGCAAACGTCGGTCTCCCTTCCCCGCCGACGATTCGCGCTCGTAGAAGACGGTGACGCTTCGCTTGTTCCAAGATGCGATAGGCAAGGGATCTGTCTCCGAAGACATGCTTGAATGGTTTGGGATTATAGAGGATTAGGATACGAGAGATGGAATTTCCGTTTCGGAATCGTTGAAACTTGCTTATTGTGGTGTCGCGGTGGATTTTACTGTTAAGCAGAAGTTCCTCGAAGCGGTGGATAGGATTTGGAGTTAGGTTTGGGGGATTGGAAGGGAAGAGTGAGCTGGTTACGGGGGAGTTACTGAAGATTCGCGGTTATTTGGAGAAGGAGCTTCTTGGTCAGGGTTCTTCTTTGGCTGTAATGGAGTGGAGGGACACGCATGAGGCTTTGAGATTGGTTGATGACTATTTGAAGGAGACCATGACAGTTATGGGGCCTTCGTTTCTCGAACTTGTGGCAATGAAGCAGTTGGGGATTGGGTGCGGGGAGAATTCTCATAAGGTGGGCGAGGTTCTAATGGAGAAGAGCATCTTTGTGAAGATGGTGGAGGTGGGTTTGATAGATTTCACGATGAAGATGGTGGTAGGCTAGAGAGTGAAGAGGTTCTGAAGATGAAGGATGGGGGTTATGGTGAGACAGGTGAGGGTTCTAAGGGTGGGGTACTGGGGTTGATGGTACAGGGAATGAAGAACAAAAGCATCTTTGTGAGAATGTTAGAGATGGGGTTAAAGGGTCTCATGATGAAGATATTCCGAAGTGGAGGGTTGGGGATTCCGGTAAGACAGGAGATGTTTCTAATGTTGGGGTTGATGGTTAAGGTAACGACTAACGAAGAAGAAGATATATTTCTGAGAATGTTGGAGATGGGGATAAGAGAGAGGGTGACCATATGTCGAAGAGGAAGGATGAGGGGTTATGATAAGGTAGGAGAGGGTTCTAATGACGGAGTTGATGGCGAAGGGAATGGAGAAGAGCAAGAGGGTGAAGCTATCCTGAAGATGAAGAAGAGGAAGGACAGAGATTCTGAGAAGATAGGAGAAGATGTTGTGAAGAGCAAGAAGAGGAAGGGTGCAGCTGTTAAACCAATGCACCTCTCCATCGCCGCAGTGCACCTGCAAAGATTGCTGATGTGGGAGAAACTGCAAGTTACCAGTCTGTTCCAGGCAAGCAGTTAGCAAAAGAGGTTGATGCACAACCGAACCGAATCATCCGGAAGCTTTTTTGGAAACTGGCTTGTGTAATCAAGAGCCTGCTGAGGTGGAAACCCAAACTGAGAAACAGAATATGAATCCAGAACCAGGAACCAGTGCCACAAATGATGCTGCTGATATGCAATGACCTACAACCCCTCCAGAGGATAGACCATCACTGAGGAAACTGCCACCCAGCTCTCCACCAAAGTTGCTTATTGACCCCAGCTTGCTTCAGAGGAGGCAGAACAGGAAGTGGTCAGTGGAGGAGCTCTGTACAATGGAGTGCAGCAGTTTGGTGTCGGGTCTTGGAAGGAAATCCTCAGATCCCGGGGCCAGAGCTTCAACAATAGGACCGAGGTTGATTTAAGAGACAAGTGGAGGAACATGAATAGATGGAAGCGTGAGCATTGACCCTGGTAACGATTTTGCACATGGAAAGGGGAATGATCCCTCTTTTGTGTCTCTTGTCCCGTTGATAACTCTCAACTCGTTCTGTGGTACATTTTTGTGCAGATAGAAAGTATGTAACTACATCTGACTCTTAACTGTATAGTCTTATGAGTTCCCACTCCCATCTGTTATTTATTTCTACTAATGAGTGATAAGCAGTAAGAATGTTGCTTCATTTGGTAGCAATGGCTCACAGTTGGAATGTAAATGATGCTGGAAGATTGGCTTCTTGCCTAATTCTAATTGAAATATATATATCTCCTTAAAGTGGTATTAACTTCTTGTTTTCTAGTTTTCTTTGACCTTTTCATGGAACGTGTAATTCTTTGTTCTCCCGATTCTAATATATGTTGTTATATGTTACTTTTGAAAAGGAGGACAAAGAATTGGTAATTGATTATGTTACGTTAAAAGTTAAAACGGAATTTTCTCGTTTATTATTATTGTCCATGTGGCAACATTATGCTTATTAGTATGTATTGTCCTTGTTTTGTCTACATATCATAAACATGTCAAACATATAGAAAATGATAGTAAGGTAATTATGAAGTTTTGTCCTTGTTTTGTGTACATATCATAAACATGTCAAACATATAAAAAAAGGGCAGTAATGTAATTTTTGACTTCAAATAGTAAATCCCACACCTTTAAATCCATGATAAAAACATCCCAACAAACAAAGGATTGTTACAAATCCATAATGCCTCAAATCCTTGATAAATCCTTGGATTTTTAAATTACAAAATCCTTGTTTATAAATCCATGAAGCAAACGAACCCTATGTCTCGTTTGTTCTCAATCTGTTTGTATTCGTGGTTCACCATTTTATCTATTTTATTGAGACTTTTTCCCGGTTTCCTTTTGTTCAATTCAGCAATGGCGGCTTCTATCTTCAGAAATGCTGAACAGATTCTCCTCCCTGTGAAATTTGCCATTTCAAGAAGGTTTTGTCTTGCTTCTCGCCTTTCTCTAGAGCTCCATGGATTATTCAGCTTGGACTCGCTCGTTTCAGCTGTAACCATGCCGGTAACCTCCTGTGCATCTATCCCCAGCTGCCGTTCTATTCATTGCAAGGTGATGGGTTCATCAGTCATCAGTTGGTCTCCGCTTAAGGTTGGGTTTCACAAAAGATGCATGCGACCGGTTCGATGAACTGCCTGACAGAGATTTGGTCTCGTGGAATTCCTTCATATCCGGGTTTTCACTCGGAGGGGATCTTTGTAACTGCTTGAAGACCTTCTCTCCCATGAAGGTCGAAAGAGGAGTCGAAGCCAGTGAAGGTACGATCATTCCATTAATTTCAGCTCTGGATATTGATACATATATTCATGGATTTGTCCTGAAGTTTGGAATGCTTCTCGAGCTGAGAATTGCTACGTTTTGATTAACTTGTATGGAAAGTCTGGCTACTTAAGATGGTGCAAGTGGATTGCCCGAGGCAATCCCAATTCCAAATTTGCTAACCTGGAAGCTATGGAGTTCATGGGAAAGGCAAGGAAGCCGTGGAAACTTTCCAGCTGATGCTAACAGGTGATGTAGCTCTTGATCATGCCACTTTCACCCACTTGTTGAAAGCTTGCAGCCATACAGGGACTCCGACAGAAGAGGTAAGGGCTACTTGGAGGTTATGGCATTGATCTATGGTGAGTGCCAATCAAAGAATGCGTCTGGTTATCACCAAGAACCTCAGGGTATGTGGCGATTGTCACGAATTCACTAAGCTTGTGTCGATGCTCTCGAAGGTCGCGAGTTCATCATTCGAGACACAAAGCGGTTTCATAATTTCTCCTGTAAGATCGTATTCTTGCAGAGAGTACACTACAAACTCTCTGCTTCCTGTATTTTAGACTATTTATACCAACTTGAAGAAATTAGGAACTGCTTGAACCCAGAAAATGAAACGCAAAACAATAATTTCTCATCGCTATCCCGGTCTTTGATGGGCCGGATCTGTTATCCTTAAGGCTGGCCTTTTTTAGTTCCAAGCCAGGAGGGCCAACTTCTCTGTTATTACTTATTAGCCAGCAACCAACCAAAACCAAGCCAAAGCCCAAGATTCCATCGTTGTCAAAGAGACGACGAGAAAGACAAAAGGCACTTTAACAATGACACTCTCTTCTCATCCATTTGAGGAGGGGCCATGTTTGGTACTTTGTGGTAGGGTGGGCAAACGGTTCGGTAAATCCGAATTAAACCGAATCGAAACCGAAATAATGCTATTCGGTTCGGAATTTGGAAGAAAAATATGGATATTTCGGAAACCATGATTCTTTGAACTGAATCGAAATACTACAATTGCAACCTCCAAATGGTGGGTGTTTATGTTTGTAGTTGTTTTTATACTTAAATATTTGAAATGTTTTATGACTTATGTGTTGAAAAGTTTGATTTTATCATTGATTATGCATGTATTACATATTTATTGTTTATATTAGGGGTGAAAAATAATTTAAAAGTGAGAAGATACAAGTAGCCTCACAAATTTGGTTTTGTGTTAAAAACCCGATCGGACCGAATTATAATTCGGTTCGAATTGGGTTTGAAGTATGAGAGAATTCGGGGACCCGGTATTCATAATTTTGATTCGGTCGAAACCGAACCGACCAAATGTCCACCCCTACTTGGTGGAAGGAAGTGGGACTGTGCAAAGTGGGGCATGTGAGCCATTCCTATACCAATCAAGGTAATTAATGCTTTGATTTGAACATTAAAATCTGTCGACATAGTTTCTTCATAATTGAGAAGACACTGTCCATGTGGCTGTCTGCCGTATGCAAGCAGTTGATTTGGGCGGGACCAACCTCTAGCTGCTTCTGCAGGTAACTTGTTTGGCTTTCTTACCTCGTTAGTTAACTGTTACAGAGTATAAGTTTGTTAAAGGTTTCTCGAAGAAATAATATATGTTTGGTTTAAGTCGATACAAATAAAGTGCATTTGCCTTTGCCCTTGTTAATTTTGTATCCTAATCTTTTCATTGATGGTTTATTATTATCATTATCTATAAAGATCTCAATCTCGGGAACGGCTACGGTGCTAATTGTACAATAGTTAGCACCGTCCTAACCAAGGGGAAAACTACTACTAGTTTGAATTAGTAGTGATTTAGCTTAGATGTTGTATTGATTTTATAATAATCCGTAGTGATTTTTGCTAGTTATTACGGTGCTAACCCCTATAGGGGTTAGCACCTAATCCCATTCCCTCAATCTCACATTCTCATTTGATGTTGATGGTATGAAAGGACTTGGTAGTGGACCATAAAAGTGCACATAATCATGGAGGATAAAATGGTTTCTACATGTATATCCCACTAGCTAAGATATGAATTTGATGAATGTAATGATGAACGATGAACTTTAGGATTTTCTTATCTGGTTGATGATTAGGATGCTATTGGTTTCTTGGCGAAATAGTATAAATGATCACCACTTGTGTATACTATAACGATTGTTGTTGTTTTCTTGTTGGATTTAAAAAATGAGAGTTTTTAGTTTTAAAACCTTAGGATTCATGATGAATTTGGTGTACTACGGATTTGGAAGAATCTATTGCACCATGAGTAGTTGCTTTTTTTATCAAGGATTTTTAACTTTTTGCACCATGAATCCCACATGTCTTCCCTCAACCAAAACCCAAATGAAAGGTGAGATCTACAATCATAGGAGGAGGGAGGCCCATTGGGCCTTGTCCCGGGACAGAGCTAAATTTCGGAGGAACAAAAATATGTAGGGGTGGGATTCGGTCGGTAAACAATTTACCGTTTACCGGTTTCGGTATACCGAAGTTGGCCAAACTGGTTACCGATTACCAATACCGGTTTACCGATTACCGAATTACCGGTAAACGGTTACAAAACGGTATTACCGAAATACCGTGAGAAGCGATTTCGGGAGGTTTTTCGGTCGGTTTACCGAATATTTACCGAACCGAATTTCTGGAAGTGGGGTGATGTTGTAATATTTTGATTTTTTTGAGTTTTTTTCATCATTTTTGTAATTAATAATTTATTATTAACTCTTCTTTACAATATTTTTTAGCTTATACTTACATTCATGTATGTAATATTTTATATTTGTGAATAATGATGTATATGTATGTTAATGCCTTAACTGGTCCGGTATCGGTATTACCAAATTACCGTCGGTAAATACCGACCCTGTGTTCGGTAAATTGGATCGTCGCCACGCGCAATCGAATACCGATACCGACGGTAATCGATTTACCGTTTACCGACAGTTACCGGTTCGGTAAAACGGTAAACCGGTTACCGGGTTACCGTTTGTCAGCCCTAAAAATATGTCATATATATGTATATTGGTGATGCAAAACAACGCTTATAGGTAATATTAGAGTATTTTTGTCACTACAACACAACTCATTACTTATTCATAAATTGACATAAAATTAATTTATTATATTATAAACGAATTCTAATTGCAATAAAGACCTCTAATCGAATCTCTTTTCTCCTTATACCTATTCGATTTTTTCCCAATAACTCTGAAATTGTCTAGCGACAGCGACAATTCCACTAGTTTTGATTCTGCGAATTACAACTGCAAATGTAAAAAGAGCATTTTCAGCTTTGAGTTATATTAAGAACAAGTTTCCAAGTCGATTTGGCGACCAATTTGCTAATGCTAATTTAGTGAAGATACATTAAAAAAGACTTATTTAATAGTGTAGACGATGAATGTTTTTGCGTTTCTTTCACAATATGAAATCTCTCCGTGGTTGTTTGGTTGTTAAAAACTGTATTGTCTGTTATTTTTAATCTATGAATGAATTGTGCAGATATAATTAATTTTAATTATTTTTTATTAAATTATTTTGTATTAATTTTTTAATTAAATATTTATTATGAAAAAGAGGACAGGGGTGGTTTGAAATGCTCGCTCCGCCACTGTCTTCAAATTCATGGATTCCACAATTTTGGATCTAAAAATTGTCAAAATCTGTGGGCCCATGTATTTGGTTTCTAATTCTTTAATGCAACAAACAAAGGAGTTGATTAAATCTATCATACTTTGGATTTTGATGGCAAATCCATCGCCCAAATCCAACAATGATGTCAGGGGCAGAGCTACATTGTAGCTAGGGTGGGCCCCGGCCCCGGGATTGGTCCCGGTCCCTGGATCTTAAAGGATATCTAGTACAAGTTTTATAAGTAGAACTTGTTCTGTAAATTTTATAATGTAATAGTTATGTGGTCTAATGGTAGCCAAGGTTAATTTATATCTTAAAGCATATGACTTCATTCCACATTGGTTATATAATTTTTTATAATTATTTAAGACCCTTCCGGTCTCGAAATTCTGACTCCGCCCCTGAAAAATGTCATGCTGGATAAGTGTAGATTTTTCTAATGCTCGACCTAATAGGTGTGAACTCAAAAGTTTAATGTAGATTTCAAATAAACCTAACACATCATTATTTTAATATTGCGAATTACGTATTAACTCGAAACTACATAAAATCTCATTGTCATTTAATGAATTAAGTAGATTAGTAGGTATTAATTTGTCTTTATCTTCTTCTTCCGGATTAGACCCCCCTCAATTCAAACAATCTAACTCAGCAGGCAGCGGCTCTTGTCTTGTGTATACACACATAGACATAGGTATGTTTATGGACAATGACAGAGCTTGTCTGTTGCCCTCCAAACAAAGAGTACTCCAAAGACCAAAACGTCTGGGAATCAAGTTGCTTCTTGAAATATATTACTAGAAATTAAGAATTTAAAAGGTTAATCAATCGACTAAATCCCCAAAATTGAAGTCTTGTAACCTAATCCAGTCCACGTATTCATTACTCGTCCTTCCTCACATCAACAAAGTGTTTCGAGTATTCTCCATTTCCACTTAAGCTCAAGCTTTGAACTTCTTGACTCTTGTTATGTTACAAATTTCTCACTAGTTATACATCAGAGCGACGAAGATGCATGAGTGTCTCTCATCAATGTAGTCGAGCAGATCTCGACTTATTTTGATCAATTGGTTATTGACATCGTATTAGGGCTGTTTGAGCCCGGGCGACTGGGCGTCACTCGGGTCCAAGGGGTTTGGGGCGTCAGACATGACTTTGAGGGGATAGGCGCCTCACCTCAGCCGAAGTGAGAAAAGAGAAGAAGTATATAGAGAGAGAAAGTAGAGAGAATTTAGAGTAAGAGTAGATAGATTGCCATTTATGAGGAGAGAACTCCTATTTATACACTTTTGAGGGTTAGGTAGTGGTATGGGCGCCTGCCAAGCCATAAATGCTGTGGTCGGACGCCTCAGACCTTCTGACACTGTACATGGTACTTTTTGACAGAGGGTGTCCCCCTGCCCCTTCTCCTTGCTGATGTCAGGTGCCTGGCCTTGTCTCTTGTCTCCCAGCCTTGTCTTTTAGCTCTTGTCTTCTTTTCTTCTTTATGCCATTATCTTGGGTTTTGCCTTGGGGATTACTAATATACCCTATCAAGGGCTTTTAATTGAACATACCAGAATTCTCATGACTCCGGTTATTATTATGTTCACTCATTGCAATGATATATATGGAAACATTACTATAGATTTCATATATTTGATTCTAGTTGAAGTTTGATTCCCCTTCCTCATTGACCCTAGGCTTTCGTAGTCATATGCATACTTCTTTCGTAGTCACAAACATGGGGTCGCTGAGACCTATTAGACCTTCGACATGATCAAGTTTGAAGTGGTTTTCTAGAAAGGTAAAAGGTATAGAGAATTAAACCGTATATGATTGTGACTACTTTCTTTGTTATTTATAGTCGAGGGCATCCTCACTTCGTTTCCTCCTTTTGAGCCGATCTCCGGCAAACCATGTACTGCTGCATACTAGAGCAGACGCAACGATGTATGGTCGTTGCTAGGCGTCGTATTATTATCTTTTCCTTCCTTTGAAGATATTCGTCTTTATGTAGATAGCCCATGACCCATTATACCTTTATGGGGCTAAATGACACGAATCCAACTCAAAATGGCTCCAACAAATATTTTTAATAACTTAAATTATCGAAATCAACTGCATTTTAATTTGCATACCGATTGAAATAAGAATCGTTAAATCTCAAAACTCTTTATATTTTCCCTATTATAGCTTTATGGGGATAAATGACACGAATCCAACTTAAAATGCGCCCAACAAATATTTTTATTAGCTCAAATTACTGAAATCAACCGCATTTTAATTTGCATACCGGAATATGAAGTAAGAACTGTTAAATCTCAAAGACTCTTTATATTTTCCCCCAAAAAGGCAAACCTACTTTCAAAACTACCCTTTTCATATTGAAACCGTTACGGGGAAGGGAAACAACACACCGGACACGTTTCCGGTTTGGTCTAGGAGTAAGAAGGAAGTAAACTCTAGTAGAGTAGTAGTAAACCAAAAGAGCACAGAAACTGCTACTGCGGCGAGCGGCCAGCGGTTCGGCCCAATCCAAACAAACCGAAGATTCCCCTGAATATTCTCTCCTTCCCACCTCTCTCCTCTTTTCTTTCCAGATATGTCTCCTATAAAACTTTGCAAACCCATCCCTCAACTTTCTAAAAATTCCGCCGCACCCCCTCTAAAAATCACAAATTCACCAAAAACACCCCCTTCCCCCTAATATAAATCTCCCCTCTTCGCATTAAAGTTTCAAGATATAACGTAAAAGAAAAAAGAAAAGAACTTCCCACTTCTACTCCTGTTAAAACAGAGTCCAGCAATGGCTGCCTCTTTATCCCTCTCTTTCCCCGATCAAATAAGCCTCCTCGACAAGCTCCAGCTCTTCAGAGTTCAAGGCCGCGACAAGCGCGGCAACAAAGTGCTCCGCGTTATCGGGAAATACTTACCCGGTAAAGTTAAACTTCCGCTTCGGGAAACCAAATTCTTACTCTGTTTTTTTCAGTTCACTGACCTTAAGTTTCTTTGCTCTGTCCTTTTATTTTTTGTTTGGGTATGTGGCGAATTCAGCTCGGATGGTGAGCTGTGAAGCAGTGAAGAAACATTTGGAGGACTCTGTTTTCCCCAAGCTAGGCGAGAAGCCGTTCTCCGTAGTGTATTTCCACGCCGGAGTTCAGCGGGGCGAGAATTTCCCGGGAATCTCTGCCCTCCGGTCGTTCTACGACGCCGTGCCAGACCCACTGAAGGAGAATCTGCAGGCGGTGTACTTCGTGCATCCAGGGCTCCAAGCCAGGATCTTCCTCGGCACCTTCGGCCGCTTCATTTTCACCAGCGGGTAAATATGTTATCCGTTTAATTTTTTAACCGTTCGGGTAAACAAGAAACAGAGCATGGTAATTGGTAAATTGGCAATTGGGTAATCACTCTGTTTTTTTTTTCTTCCGTTCTCTTTGTTGTTGTCGGCGAGCAGATTGTACGGGAAGGTGAGGTATGTGAGCAGGCTGGAGTTCATGTGGGAGTATGTGAGGAAAGGGGAGATCGAGGTGCCGGAGTTCGTCAAGGATCACGAAGAAGAATTGGAGTATCGGCCGCTGACGACGCTGGATTACGGCATGGAGAGCGATTTCCCCAGGCCGTACTGCGCCGGAGCTAATATGGACAACCCCATGGCTTTGTATTCCATGCGCTGCATTTCCTAGTGTTCATGTAAAGAGGCTTTCAAACGCCGTTGTGTACATATAAAAAGAAGGTTTGGGTGTTAGCCTGTTAGGCAGAGAGGTTTGCTTGCAAGAAAAGTTTCGAGGTTTTTACTATAACTTGGACCACAAACAAGTGCCCTTTCTTTCGCCAGTGCTTCCTTAGTATCTTCTCTCATCGTTATGGGCATATGCCGGGTTGAACGTGGAGTGGGGGAACTTGGCTGGGCTATCAGAAGTGCAGATTAAGCAAGATACAGAGTTTCTTATGGGCAAGGAGCTGACATCTCAATTCTGGGTGACTTGGTACTTGGCATCTATAGTTTTTTACTGTCTCTAATGTAGTCCTACTACTTTGTTGTGATTCTGAGTTTGTTAGTAGTGGTTGCTCTCTGTTTCTTAGAGAAGATTGTTGACAACAAGTGTTTTAACTGCGCCGACAAGGTTCGAAAAATCGTCGGAATCGAGAAAGGAAGAACACGAAAACAGAAAGCACACAACACACGATTTACGTGGTTCACTAACACAATTGCTAGTCCACGGGTAGGAGAGCCAGTTTCAGTATATCGAGCAGATTACAAATTACAGAGGAGTATGAGAAGTATATACTATATAGAGTACTTCTCCTAGGTCTAACCCCTAATCCAATATGGTAAAAAAAAAAAAGCGGTTACAATCAGACCTAGAATCCGAACCCAAATAACATTGAGTCCGTACACCGTGGGCCGGGAGCGTTCCCCCTGGACCCCACTTGCTGACCGGGCAACGAGACCCCGTGACTTTCAGTCTGGCAGCTGATAGTCCGATTCAAGACAAATCAACGGTAAGACATTTTTTTAATGAAATATATTAACACCCATCCATCAAAATAAAAGTAGGAACAATAAAAGAAGACTTTTTTTAATCTCATCCATTAAATATCGCCACACTCAAAATCAAAGAGTCCAATATGATTATGAAAAAAAAAAACATAACCAAAACGTTATATACTTTACCATATATATACATAATAACCGGGGAGCAGATCCGGTGAGTAACCCTATGATGAGTAACCATGAGTAACCCGTCCACATCAGCATTGGTGGACCCTAAGAAAATTTTATTGGACGGAAACAACCCCACCCCGAGGTCTCTTCGGTCACCCGGGTCAAATACCTTGGGTCACCTTGGAGTCACTCCGGCCACACCGGGCTCACTTCGGTCACCCAGGTCAAATACCTTGGGTCACCTTGAGGTCACTCCGGCCACCCCGGGGTCAAATATCTTGAGTCACTCCAGCCACCCCGGGGTCAAATACCTTGGGTCACCCAGCCCACCTTGGGGTCACTCAGGCCACCCTGGGGTCAAATACCTTGGGTCACCTAGCCCACCCCGGGGTCACTCCGGTCACCCGGGTCAAATACCTTGGGTCACTTTGGGATCACTCTGGCCACCCCGGGGTCAAATACCTTAGGTCACCTAGCCCACCCCGAGCTCACTCCGGTCACCCGGGTCAATTACCTTGGGTCACTTTGGGATCACTCTGGCCACCCCGGGGTCAAATACCTTGGATCACCTTGGGGTCACTCAGGCCACCCGGGGTCAAATACCTTTGGTCACCTTTGGGTCGCTCCGGCCACCCCGGGGTCAAATACCCTGGGTCACCTCGGCTACCTTGCGCTCTCCGCCCACCCCAGGTCACCTCAACCTTTGGCCACGTACCCCCGCAACGTGTCCACCGACCAAACCACCAAGCTCGCGAAGGAGACACATACTCCCTTCATGTTCACCTGGGAGCCTCTATAAAAGGCCACTTCGTCTCCAGATTGAGGTAAGCAAAAATTCCCCATGCATAGACTCATGAACTCGCGCTATGATTAGCGCAGATATTATCTCTCTTTTCGAGATCATATTCCTCTCCACTCAGCACCCTCACTAACTTGAGCGTCGGAGAGTGTCCCCGCCGAGATCGGCTGGCAGACCCTTTTTGCAGGAGATGACCGGAGCTAACATCACGAGTGAAGTTTGAGGTGAAAGGTGGCCGTCGACCGACTCCGGTGCCCAGCATAAAAAATTCAACGTCGGCTACAACCCCGACATCAACAATTGGCGCCCACCGTGGGGCCCTGGAGCAAAAGGTTGAAAAAAACCTAGCGCCACTACTTCGCTCAGGATGGAGTGTCAAAGCTCCCTACACGGTGGCGGAGTTCGAGACAAAGAGCCAGCTCCTCCACCGTCTGTTGAAGAACTTCAAGCCCAAGTTGAGAAGTTGAAAGCCCATGTCCAAGCATTGACATCAGCTCCTCCTCCAACCCATGGGTTGCATGCCAGCTCTAGCCACCAACCGGAGACCACCGGAGGGTCAGCCTACCCCAATGGGACGTCAATCCTTCCTCCACCGCCCTAACCAGGGGATATCTCATACCTTGAGGCCTACCTGAATCCTAGTTTCATGGCGGACCCTGGGCACGGCAAGCCTTTGGCCCGTTCAATCCTGGATCAGCCCAATTCCCCGAACTTCCAAATGCCTCACCACCTTCCAGAATACTACGACACTTCCGACCTAGAGGATCACCTTAGTGCCTTCCAGATTTTGATGCCTTTCGTGGGCCATCTGACGCTACCATATGCAAACTCTTCCCCACCACCCTTCGAGGAGTGCCCTTTCAATGGTATACTCAGTTGCGAAATGGCATAATCACTAACTTTGAGGAGTTCGCCACCCTCTTTCGAGCCAAGTTTTTTGCCCAGAAACGGCCAAATGTGGACGTGTCTCGCCTCATGAGCACTAAACAAAGAGAGTACGAGACCCTTAAGGAGTATTACTCTCGATTCAGCATGATTGTTGTCGGGGTTACCAATCTAACCACAGAAAATGCAACTCATGCCCTCGTATTTGGAACAAGCAACTCTCTTCTCCAAGCGTCACTCATAAAGCAGCGTCCCCGCAACATGATGGATCTCCAGGAACGGGTGTCCAAATACATCGCCCTTGATGAAACCTTACAAGAGACAGCTCCCCCAAAGCGTTCTCGGTCATCGCAAAAAAGGAAACGAGAACCCTCACCTCCACATCCTCCAAACTCACCAAAGTCTCGTGACCATCAACAAGGTCGCTCTCCCTCTGGCCAAGGCAGGGGGGCACGTCGAGACAGGCGTCGGGAGGAGTCAATCCCTAAGCCTGACCAGACTTTCACCCCGCTAACGGAGTCCCGCAAGACAATTCTTCAGATAATCCAGGAGAAAAAGATCCCCATATCCTGGCCAAACCCCATAACAAAAGAACCTCGGAAAGGGAAACACAAGTACTGTGATTTCCATCGGGGATATGGCCATGACACCGAGCAATGTTGGACATTAAAAAACTACATCGAAGACCTGGTACAGGAAGGTCACCTAAAGAAATACATTGGGAACCCGGAGAGCCGCCCCAAGAAGTAGCACCGCCAGATCGAGGAAAGGCACCACATGGCGGTGGGATACTCGGAGTCGTGGATGTCATCCACGGGGGCGCTGGTTTGAGCAATGCTAGCGGAAAGCCACTCTCGACCTGCGGTCAAGAGATGGTGGGGTCAACATCCTCTATCTCGAGGAATCCCACAATTTCCTTTGATGTCAAAGACTTGGACGGAGTCACCCACCCCCATGATGACCCGCTAGTGATTGAGGCTGTGGTTGCAGACTACAAGGTCAAACGAATCTTGGTGGATGGAGGTAGCTCGGCGGATCTCTTGTTTTAGCCTGCTTACGTCTCTCTGGGGTACCGCCCAGACCAATGCCGGCCCGCCAAAATTTGCTTGGTCGGTTTCTCAGGAACTCAAGTACCCGTGATCGGGACGCTCCCACTACGTGTTCGTGTTGATGAAGGGGACCAAATTGCAGAGACTGTCGCCAACTTTCACATCGTAGATTGCCCATCAGTATACAATTGCATTCTAGGGCGACCTTTTTTACATCAACTCCGAGCAGTCCCCTCCACATTCCACCTCCGCCTTAAGTTTCCAACAAACACTGGCATTGGATGTGTTCGTGGAGATCAAGCTCTTGCCAAATAGTGTTGCACACTTTATTTACAAAAGAAAGCAGTTGTCAACATTAACGCCTGAGAAGAAGGCATCCGTCCCGTTCCCGTTGACCCCGATGAGGATTTTCCTATCTCCGAGGGGCACACTGTCCGCATATCTACAGCATGGCCTCGCGAGGCACTTCAATATCTTTTGACACTTCTCCAAGAGTTTGAAGAGGTTTTTGCCTGGGGGCCAGAGGACATGCTCGGTGTCGACCGCCGGGTGGCAGAACATGCGCTTGGAATTGCACCTGGCAGCCGCCCCATACAACAAAAGCGACGCAATTTTGCTTGGGAAAGACGCCAAGCAGTGGCGGAAGAAGTCTCAAGGCTTCTCAAAGCAAAATTCATTCAGGAAGTTCTCTATCCAACATGGCTCGCAAACGTGGTAATGGTGAAGAAGGCAAATGGCCAATGGCGAATGTGCGTCGACTTTACAGATCTCAACAAGGCCTGCCCCAAAGACCCGTATCCTCTCCCAAAGATTGACAAGCTTGGTCAATGCTACTGCCGGCCACTGATTTCTCAGCTTCCTAGATATGTTCTCAGGGTATCATCAAATTCCCATGAGAAAGGAGGACCAAGAGAAAACTGCATTCATGACACCCGTGGGCAACTATTGCTACAAGGTGATGCCTTTTGGGTTAAAAAATGCCGGCGCCACATACCAGCGAATGGTGGACCGCGTTTTTGCCCGTCAGCTAGGGAGAAATCTGGTGGCTTATGTCGATGACATCTTGATAAAAAGCGAGGGTGTAGATGAGCACCTAGAGGACTTGAGGGAGTCCCTCAACACTACGCGCCTATACGACCTTCGCCTTAACCCAAAGAAGTGTGTCTTTGGGGCCACCGCTGGGAATTTTCTTGGTTTCATGCTCACTCAAAGGGGTATCGAGGCCAACCCACGTCAAATCGATGCCCTTCTCCAAATGTCACCACCAACCAAAGGAAGGGAAGTCCAAGTTCTCACGGGATGGATCGCCGCCCTCAACCGATTCATCGCCCATTCCGGAGATCGGTGCGCTCCATTCTTCGCTACTCTCAAAGGGGCTAGTAAAACATTTGTATGGACACCTGAGTGTGAGAAGGCATTCGAAGAATTGAAAAATTATCTGGTCATCCCTCCTGTACTATCCACCTCTCTGAATAATGAAGTTCTCTATCTTTACATTGTCGTGTTGCCTAAGGCGGTTAGTGCAGTCTTGGTGCGGAAAGACCATGATGGGCGATAACACCATGTATAATACACAAGCACAACGCTCCTGGATGCTGAGACAAGATACACGCCGGTTGAGCAAGCTGCACTCGCCGTAGTTGTTGCCTCTCGAAAACTGCGCCCCTACTTCCAGAGTCATGCCATTTGTGTCCTAACACACCTCCTTCTTAGACGCCTTCTCCAAAAAATGGACATCTCCGGACGCATGGTCAATTGGGCAGTAGAGTTGAGTGAGTTTGATATCACCTTCCTTCCACGAACTAAGCTTCCTGGAGGTGGGCAAAAGAAGAAAAACCTATCACGCTATGCTCCATCACCACCATAAATCTCACTAACCATGACAGGCACCTTAGGTCTACGTGCTAGGCGCCAGCCACCACTAAACGACTGCAGCTGAAAGCAGCAACGAAATAAATCTGAAGAGGGCCACACACTAGCAGTCCGACAGCGGGAGATGAACACCGCAACATGAAGCCAGAAGGTAGGAACCATGGAGCTAGTGGAAATGTTCCACTCCTCCATCACCAAGCCACTCGAGGAGGGGTGGACGAAAACCATACACCAGTGACTAGTAGTGCAGCCCGTACCATCCTGGACCTCCATCAGAGATCGTGGACCCCACTGTTGGGATAGCAAACTCCCAGCCCGGACTAAGAATGAAACTCGAAAAAACATTGCGCAAGCGAGACATCTCACTTGTCACAAATGACGGATCAGCCCGTGTCACTAGGACTACTGGAGCGGTCCCCTAGGGATACGTCTCTGCCAGTAGGCAGATGTGAATCCCCTGTGTATCGCTAAACTATGAAGTATGATGGATGTCCTCTAGAGTGGCAACATAAGCTCTCACGATCCTCCTGTTAGCTGCAGAAGCCTCCCCTCCTCCCTCTGCATCTCTCTCCTCAACCATCTTCTCGATCATTCCTTCGACAACCACCCCTCTAGCCTCAACCGCAATCCCTGCTCGGCTGGTCACTTCTGCCTCCTCAACATTATATGTCTCCCTCATATCACAAGCATAATCCATTGACTCCGTAGTAATCACTGGCGTATCACAAAAATATGCCTATCTCACTAACTATGATGATCTAAACTAGATTCTTTGTACCGGCGTGTGAGGAAAATGAGAAGGCGAGTGGAAGACATACCTTATACGATGGGATGCGACGGAATGCCCCTTCACCTCCCGCTTCAAAATGACACTGCCACCCGGTATGGTGGAAAAGGATGGGTTCAAGGAAGGATGTCAGAGCTTGAATTGGGCAAAGGAGTGGGGAAAGAGTGGAGGGGAATGGGGCAGAGGAATGGGAGAAGTGAAGGATGGGGAGGAGGTGGGAACAGTGAGGGATGGAGAAGAGGTGGGAGAAATGGCTTTATATAGCCACACTAGTCAATCTTCCAACACCTCAACACTTGTGACGTAATAAATACGACACAAATTTCCCGATGGTCAACTCTCAATATTCGTGAGACATTAACCTAGCACAATTTCCACCAAGTCAAACACCATAACCATTAATATGGTGAATAACACATTAATCATCTCATCTTCCTCTACTAGCTTTGATAAACCTTTACCCTCCTCCTACTGGTAACGGTGTCAACAATGATCTTCGCTCGAGATACCGAGCCTTCGCGCGTGATACCGATCCACGAATTGGCTTGGACTCCATCAGATAAGGAAAAGTGTCAATAAAACATGGACCCCCATTAAACCATTGGCCTAACAAATGGCAAAAGGATAGAATTGCCGATGAGAAATTTCGCTAAAATTGAAATTCCCACCGACAAGGGGGGCAACTGGTGGACCCTAAGAAAATTTTATTTGACGGAAACAACCCCACCCCGAGGTCTCTTCGGTCACCCGGGTCAAATACCTTGGGTCACCTTGGAGTCACTCCGGCCACCCCGGGCTCACTTCGGTCATTCGGGTCAAATACCTTGGGTCATCTTGAGGTCACTCCGGCCACCCCGGGGTCAAATACCTTGGGTCACTCCAGCCACCCCGGGGTAAAACACCTTGGGTCACCCAGCCCACCTTGGGGTCACTCAGGCCACCCTGGGGTCAAATATCTTGGGTCACCCAGCCCACCTTGGGGTCACTCAGGCCACCCTGGGGTCAAATACCTTGGGTCACCTAGACCACCCCGGGGTCACTCCGGTCACCCGGGTCAAATACCTTGGGTCACTTTGGGATCACTCTGGCCACCTAGCCCACCCCGGGCTCAATCCGGTCACCCGGGTCAAATACCTTGGGTCACTTTGGGATCACTCCGGCCACCCCGGGGTCAAATACCTTGGGTCACCTTGGGGTCACTCAGGCCACCCGGGGTCAAGTACCTTGGGTCACCTTTGGGTCGCTCCGGCCACCCCGGGGTCAATTACCCTGGGTCACCTCGGCTACCTTGTGCTCTCCGCCACCCCACGTCACCTCAACCTTTGGCCACGTACCCCCGCAACGTGTCCACCGACCAAACCACCAAGCTCGCGAAGGAGACACGTACTCCCTTCATGTTCTCCTGGGAGCCTCTATAAAAGGCCACTTCGTCTCCAGATTGAGGTCAGCAAAAATTCCCCATGCCTAGACTCGTGAGCTCACGCTATGATTAGCGCATATATTCATTCTCAACTCCATTCCCTCATCTCTCTTTTCGAGATCATATTCCTCTCCACTCAGCACCCTCACTAACTTGAGCGTCGGAGAGTGTCCCCGCCGAGATCGGCTGTCAGACCCTTTTTGCAGGAGACGACCGGAGCTAACATCACGAGTGAAGTTTGAGGTGAAAGGTGGCCGTCGACCGACTCTGGTGCCCAGCATAAAAAATTCGACGTCGGCTACAACCCCGGCATCAACAAGCATGATATCATCATTCATCTTTCTCCTTGAAAGTCTTTTATCTTTTCCTCTTTAATCTTTAACGGAAGATTTCTCTTTCGTTTTAAGTCGAAATTTAAATTTTTTTTTGCACAGATAAATCAGATTAAATGTGTTCTTCAAAATGATATTCATTTTGATATATTTTTGGAACAAAAAATTGAGTCATTTTTTACTAGTCTATACCATATGGTATTGACTGGTATTGAAATAAGAGCATACATATGATTTGAAAATCGTACCATGGTTGTATGAGCAAACCAAGACTGTAGGATGGTTGAATACATGGTAGTAGAATTATATTAACTGTCATTTACGACTTTTAATATTGTGTACCACAAGATACCACCTTGTATCAGGGTGGTATTGTGTGATATTTTTTGGTCATGTAATTTGTTCATCCAGAAATTTGTAGATCCAATAGATCACGATGAAGTCGTTCCTTCTGTGCAAACGTTCTCAAAAACGAATTAAAAACGAAGAAGATACCATATGGTATGCAGTTGGTACAAAGAGGCAATAATTTTTTTTCTCAAAAAATATTGAAAACGGATCTTGTTTTGTAGATCACAACGAACTCGTTCCATCTGTGATTTTTTTTTTGAAATCCGAGTTAAAATGAAGAAGATATGAGCCGATTAAGAAAACTAGAGAAAATAAAAATGATATTTAATTCTTCATCCTTATATCCAAATTTTCTAAATGAAGGGTTCAAATTATAAACCTAATAACCCGAATACTTAATCCAAACGATTAGGTATGCACGTATGTATATAATCAGGAGATGGTCTTATAGAGGAAGAGTTGAGAATAATTGAGTAAAATATGTCTAATTTATGTTTCACTCTATTATATGATAATTTTGCCATCACCATGAACCTTATTTTGTATGTTAGCTCGACAAATCTACTGCTAGCTTGGAGAGAGTGATTGTTCGGTTACAAACCACTTAGGTTTCGTTGGAAGTTGTGATTGTTAGAATTGTGTTTGTTGAATACATGTATTGTGCACAATACAATGTTTGGAAGTGTCAAAGTGTAAAACAATGAATGCATTGTTTTAGCTAGGTCCCCCAGCAATCACAAAAAATGATGCATTATACAATCTCAACTAAAAGTTGTGATTGTTGATTTTAGATTTGTGTCAACTTTTTCTTTCCATTTATATCCCTATTAGATTTTGTCTTAAGACATTTTCCCATAAAACTAACTTTATGTAAATCAATGCATAAAGTAGAATCTTAACAACCAAACAATGTATTGTTAAAATGCATACATTGTATCAATACATGCATTTATATTATGGTGATTCATTACAATGTAACGATTTACCATTCGCAACTTTCAAACGACCCCTTAGATTAATAAACACTTTATTACATTTATTAACCATTTTGATATAGTTCTCATAATTTAGTGACCATTTCGACAATTTCACCATTTGACATTAACGGGAGAGACGGGGACTGGACGATCCAGTTCTTCCCGTAAATTCAGAAAAAGCGGATTCCTATTTCCCGCAAAAAGAAGTTGCCCACTTTCTGAAACCCTTTTGCCTTCTTCTTCTTCTTCTTCTTCTTGTTCTTCTTCTTCCGTGTAAGAATATTCTGCGCCAGCGGCTGTAATTACATGTGGTTGAAATTCGCTTCTTTTTGGTCGTATCGTTTAATCAGTTCTTTACCCAAATTCCCAAAATTCCCAGGTTATGGACGCAGCTGCGTGATTCCATTGGGAACAATAGGAATTCGAGCTGGAGTCCGCTCAGCGATTCGACAGCTTTGGTGGGTTGGTTCTACTATATATACATGGAGTCGGATACGTTGGTGGAGGAGAAAACCACGCTGTGATCGCCATTTCTCCTCCAGCGTTGGATTTCGGTAATTCCTTTTCTATGTATTATTGCCTTTGATTGTTTGCTCGAAGAATTTGTTTTTCATGCTATCTTCGTTTCCTCTGTCCCGAATGGCAGGATAGTTTCCTTGGTGGAGGATTTTGAGGACCCAACAGAGTTTGAATTAAGATATGGGGAACCAGACGGCTGTATGATTCTTCTTTGTTTTTGACCCTTTTCATTTGTTTGTTTCTATTTAGGGTTGCAGTAGGCATTTCATTTTCTGATGCTTTTTTCTGTTTGGTCATCTTTGCTGTGATGAATTCAGGGACACGAGGGAAATAACCAAGAAGCTGACATTGGTATGCTATTGCAGTTACTATGGTTGAGTTCTTATGTCACGTGGGTTTGTGATGGTTGTTTGTAAATGATACTGAATTTTGATGGTGTTCAGGGGCGGTGATTCGTAATGGAAAGGAAGTTCTTTTCCAGGTAAGATTCCTTCTGAAGTTTGCCTGAGAATGTTTAATTCACTGCCTTGGATATTCTATGTAACGAATAGTAGAATTGCATAGCTATGTGTGTCCAGCTTTGATTTATAGCTGAACTTTCTTCAAACAGGCTTTTAATTGGGAGTCTCACAAGCATGACTGGTGGAGAAATCTGGAGAAGAAAGTACCTGATATGGCAAAATCGGGGTTCACTTCAGCTTGGTTGCCTCCACCTTCTAATTCTTTCGCATCTGAAGGTCTGAAGGAATTAGTTAAGCTTGTTGCATGTACCAATATTTACTGCTTGATTATAAACCTTCTTCCCTTTGTTTCGAATAGGTTACCTTCCACAGAATCTTTACTCACTCAACTCAGCATATGGTTCTGAGCACCTATTGAAAGCTCTGCTTCACAAGATGAAGCAGCATAGAGTGAGAGCAATGGCTGATATTGTTATCAATCATCGAGTCGGGACAACCAGAGGGCACGGTGGGATGTACAACCGCTATGATGGAATTCCATTATCATGGGATGAGCGTGCTGTTACCAGTTGTACTGGTGGATTGGTAATTCATTTTCACTATACTTGTACTCTGGGGATCGTTGACCATGTGCACAACAATTTCAATTTGAGTACCAATTCACAACGTTTGGCTATATGCATCATATTGGGCAGTGGGCATTGAACTCAATGTTGAGACAAATAAAGCACCAAACTCATCCTAATAAAATTTTCTTGTTAACATTTCAATTCTGTCTATATCTAAACCCTAAGAACTTAGATCTTGACAAGTGTTTTTGTTGTTTAATTTCCTTATTCCTCCAGGGAAATCAAAGCACTGGTGACAACTTCCATGGTGTTCCAAACATAGACCACTCACAGCACTTTGTGCGCAAAGACATTACAGCTTGGCTGCAATGGCTGCGTTACACCATTGGATTTGAAGATTTTCGTTTTGATTTTGCAAGAGGGTAAGTTTTTTTTGTTCTCCTTTTGTGATTTTTACTATATGCTTTTCAATGTTATGGCTGGTGATACTTATGCATATTCCTCAAAATTGCAAGTTTAGCTATTCGGCTAAGTACGTGAAAGAGTACATTGAAGGAGCCAAGCCAAAGTTTGCTGTTGGAGAGTATTGGGATTCTTGCAACTACAATGGCAGTTACTTGGAGTACAATCAAGGTATACTTCTTGCTTTTTATGCTTATTGTGTCCTTGATTAATCTGACGCTCATACCTAATCCGTTTCTGGACATTACTAACTCAGATAACCATAGACAAAGGATAATCAATTGGATTGATGGCACAGGACAGCTCTCAGCTGCATTTGACTTCACTACTAAAGGAATCCTTCAGGTATTCTCATACATTGCCTATGCAAAGATAATTGTAGATGATAAGGATAACATACTTTTTCTAGTTGTGGACTTATGGAATGAGGTTAATGCCTTAGTCAAAGAACAGTATCCGCATACTTTTTCCTGCTTATCGTCGATGAATGAATATTTCGAAACAGGAAGCAGTTAAGAGTCAATTATGGCGTCTTCGCGACTCTCAAGGGAAGGCTCCAGGTGTAATAGGATGGTGGCCGTCGAGGGCTGTCACATTTCTTGATAACCATGATACAGGATCAACCCAGGTACCAAAATAACCTCTAGTTTCTGCATTTAAGGGTTTTGAGCATTCATAAATATCCAGCAAATAATCTAAACCGTCCTCTGTGTACCCTATTTCAGGCTCATTGGCCTTTCCCTTCACATCATATCATGGAGGTACTACAGTCATAGCACCACTGTATATATATTAGGAAACGGTTCTACCTTTGATTAGTTTTGAACTCTCCTTTGGTTGCATTTCAACAGGGCTATGCATATATTCTCACACATCCAGGGATACCAACTGTCTTTTACGATCACTTTTACGACTGGGGTGACTCTATTCATGACCAGATTGTGAAACTGGTGAGTTGGGTTTGATATAACGCTATCTGCCCTGCAAGAACCAACTTCTTAGTTCTTGCCCCTTTGGTTTGCAGGTCGATGTTAGGAAGCGTCAGGGCATCCACAGCCGAACCCCCATCAGGATTCTGGAGGCACAGCCGAATTTATACTCTGCAATGGTAGGGGAGAAGGTGTGCATGAAAATGGGAGATGGTTCCTGGTGCCCTGCCGGAAAAGAGTGGAGCCTCGCAGCCAATGGGCATAGATATGCTGTGTGGCAAAAGTGATGGAATGGATGCCCAGGTTTTCAGTACCATACCTGAGAGGACAAAAAAAAAAGGTTCTGAACCATTGCAGGATGCAAAGGAATGTACTAACTTGGCCTGAATAAATGATATGCCTGAGCCGGGAAGGGAATAAGACCAAAGTGGCCGCCTATATTTGTTTTTTTTTTAATTTTTTTTTTGTACAATGCAAAATGAAATCCTCCATCAGTATCAGTACTTTGTAAGATTTTCTCCATTTTAAATTCTCTGCTTCCTCCTTAATTGTAGATAGGGTTATAATAGTAAATGTCATCTTACTTTTTAATAAGTAAAAAATAATTATAATTTTACTGCCTGCAAGATTTGAACTAGGGCTGAGAATCTAGACCAAATCGTATGGGAAACCGCGGTCTAGACCGTATCGTATGGTTTGGTATGAACTGTGAGACCAGAACTATGGTCTAGTCTGGTTTGCGGTCTCCTCCTTTAGTGCGTGGTCTGAAGTGGTCTGGACCACAGTCTACCGCAGTAAACTGTAACAGACCGCGACACACTACCTACTAACTCGGACAAAAATATCACTAAATTGAACCTCCATTTGTGTATTTGAAGAACAAAGTTAGTTGATTCTTCATCTAGTTGAGAGCCAACAAATTGCCAAATGATCGCTTATGTGTTATCTCCTTATCAAAGAACCACACAAAAACCAGAAAGACTCATAAATAATATTCAGACAATGTCTGTGACTATGGAGTCGATAAAAATTAAACACTAGGAAAAAAAAATTGTTCACCTTGATGAGATAAGGAAAATTATTGAGAGATATGAGACCATTTTAGTGGTTCAAAATTACCTCGACATCATTACAAAGGTTATCAACCGGGAGAATCTTCGGATCACTCGAGAGAGGAGAAAGGCGGTAGCACAAAGAGGAATAGGGAAACAAAGCTATTTGATGTGTGTGTGTTTGAAAATTGAAAAAACTCACTTCTATCCACATATTTCTTCTCATTTAATTCCTACCACAATTTTTTTTGTTTCACTAGCATATTGGTCACTATAATTTTTATTTTTATAGATACCGACGAAGGGTTGAAGGGCGAACAAGAATTAATTTTTTTAACATGGTCTGTCTGGTACATACCGGACCGCACCGCAAAGGTGTGGTCTGGTCTGGACCGTATAGTAATATGGTCTGGTCCATGGTTTGTGTTCCAACCTCTCGGTCTAGACCACAGACCGTATCTATGGTCTGGTCTGGACCGGACCGCACCATTTCCCACCCCTAATTTGAACCTTGGTTGTTTTAAATAGAGACAAGGGTTGTAACCAATCACACAACATTAATTTGTTGTATCCCTTTAAATTAAAAACACACCTGAAGCTAAAATCGGAAAATCACAGAACTTTTCAATGGTTAGCTAGCCAAGTAAAACTCCGATAAGTACTTATTGATGTTCGATACTTCAATTTTTATATTGTGATTATTTTAATAATTTTTTTAAAAATGAGAAATTCATTAATTAAATAAGGAGTTAAGAGTTAAACAAGTTACACAACGAAGGCACACTCACCAGAGAAAACAAGATAAACAACCCCTATCCCAAACGAAGACACAAACAGAAACAAACCAACAAAGAACAACAGGGCCAAATAAGGATAGCTTTAAAATCACAACTCAAATATCAATGGTTCGAATATTGCATATCAAAATCCAATATTGAATATGCATAATTCTTATTAATTTTTATAACTACTATGAAGCAATCGTATTCATATCTTTGTGCGATATCAATGACATTGGTCCTTTGAACGTTTTAGCCCGGTAACTACTAAGTTTTAAACCCCTTTCTAATCCGGCATGATTGGATCCAACAATCATTAGACGAGGTTAAGTTTAATATGTATGTTCATTTCACCCTTTTTATGTGTTAATGAATATATTGGGCAAATACACGTCTACATATACACTCTACACAATATATAGTATTGGAATGAGAAAATTGTTTCCCCATTTCAAATTTTCTATATCGAGACTCAAAGTATGAATGATATTTTTGTCTTCAAAATTACTTGTCTGTATTATTTATAGAAAAATAGAAAAAATTGGGATTTGAACCAATGTATCTTCAAACAAAGACAAGACTCATAACCATGATTGTCAACCCGAGTTTGACTCGACCGATCAAACCAATTATTCACAAACCCGAGTATCGTACTAAGCGCGGAAGCCCCAATCGGTTATCTACTTGGGCCGACCAAACCCAGGATAACCCAATCAAATCAAGAAATTCGTCTGATTCAACCAACTAATTCGAGCACCGGGCCACTTCAAAACGACATCATTTTCAACAAATCGTATTCGTAGCTCCATTTTTGTGGCATCATTTTCCTAATCACAAACCCTACAACAACAAACATAAAAAAATCTCATGTTTGACTATCTCACCGTCTCTTCTTCCTTTAGGTTCGACATGCAGCAATACAAGGCTCAACCATCTCATAAACCATCCCAATCTATCGGTGGTCAATTCCATTTGCGTTCCAGTAACACTATCATAGCGTCAACTTATCTCATTTCATACAAAGAAGAAGCAAAAAAGTTTAGAAGAACATGCATTTGGATTGAGATTTTGTGACTAATAAATGCCAAGTTGCTCATTTGCATGTGGGCTCTTTGTAGGAATTGTGATCTCAGTTGGTTTAAGAAGTCATGACTAGATTGGAAGATAAAAATTCGATCAGATTATTCAGGTGACCACTAATCTACATATTGTTTGAACTAGAACAAGAATTTTTTATAGGGTAATTAAATTTTATTATTTTATTCTTGTTCTGGGTATATAGTTAATTAAAATAAAATGAAAGGTGTTGTAGTATTTCGCCAACGATCCTATCTCTCCTATATCGATAAATTACTACAATAACTATTTTGATGCTTCTATTGCTGAAGACGATGTTTGATCAATTATATAGTCCTCCTTTACTTTTCTTCCTATACCAGACTTTGAACTTGAATGAGTTTTTGGTTTTCGTCCAAGGTTAATCGCTTCACATATGTAAGTCATTCATTTTTTCTCTTTGTCCCATGGTTTTATCTTACTTATTAATAACAAAAACGACTTTTATATTCAGGTTGTATCATGAGAAGAACATGCAGAAGATCTATTTATTTTGATCCTATTGTGTAAACGATGTTTGAAGCCCATGGATCTCTTGCGTCGTTGCTCCTCTTTTTGTTATTAGGTTTCAACTTTAGTGAGGCTTTTATCTTCATAGAAGGTTCATTGAGTTGAACTGGTATGCTATTATTCTCTTTCCAATTTATCTAAGTTGTTTGTAATTGATTTATAAAATATATAAAAGGAATTTGAACAGTGGTTTGGGTGCTTTATTTGTTTGAAATCAAATAGATATTTGGGTAGAAAACGAGTAGTTGTACTTTTCTATCTCCCTATCTACTTTTTTATTGTTTGTTTGCTGTATTTTTTTGTTCTTTGGTTAGCTATTGAAGTAATAAAATAATATCACCATTTTATTTTTCCAGTATAATATTTCCGCTCATGATTTATTTTATCATAGCTAATGTTCTCCAGAACCATATTTTTCTTCATTTATCTCGATTCTTATGGTCTAGCTCACCGATCAAATTTTGATATTGTTTTAGGATTAGATAGACACCGTTGATTTTGTCGATGTATTTAGTATCAGTAAATATAATTGCAAGCCACTATTATTGGTAAAATTTAGCCTCCACGCAATAATACTCTGGGAGGTGGTGGTGTTGAACTTGGAGTAGAACTGTTGGGATTAGGTTTGGGAAAGGAAGTAGCGGGGGAAGAAATTATGTTCGGATTTGGTAGCAAGTAAAGTTCAACTACATCAGGTGAAGACAGAGAAGAGGGAGTTGGCGAGGGTAGTGATCATATTGAGGAGAGTATTGGAAGACATGAAAGTAAAACTGGAGTAGTTTAAGAGAGAGAAGTGAGAGATGATGAGGATATTTATGAAAATGGAGAGGGTGGCATGGAAGTGATCCGGAGTAGGTGAAGGCAGTCAAGGAGGATATGAGCATACTGATGGAATTGGAGATGAGGAGTGGCTTTACCGAGCTTATTACAAATGCCCCTAAGGAAGATGATTTGGCCAAATACACGAAAATGTTGAGGAGTTGGATAGCGAGTTGACAAGAATCCCAATTGGAAGAGAAATTGAGGGCCACATAGAGAAGGTCCATCAAAGTAGCAGAAATAGAATTGCAGGAGAAGGATTAGAAAGTGAATTTTTGGTTGAAACAAATGCCTCTTGAGATTGAAGATAGAGGGGATAAAAAGTTGATTGTACAACGAATAGTGGTGGATATTGGTCTTTAGGTTTATGGTTGTGCAGCTACCACAACCTATATCTATCTTAAAATGAGGAATCGTTTATTGATTTATTAAAATTAAGGTTGATTCTCTATTCAAACTAATGTGAGATAAGTAGTGTCTAATTTTGTATCATATTAGTTTGATCAAGTCATTAGTATATTGGAGGTAACCTTAATTTTGTCATTTGCGCTTAACTTTTGATGATTCCCTTTTAGTTGAGTTGTTAGTATATGGCTGACTTGAATCAACAACTCTTCATTTCTTTTTAATTAGTGGCATGTGGTTCTTAAAAGGAGAGAATTGAACCCTTTATGTAGGATTATCAGATTTTAGTTTTAGTTTTCAATTATCTATGGGTCGTGTGAGAATTCCAGCGGGCTTTTATACTCTATATTTCCTGACAATTAATTAACCAATAGCATTTTAACGGGAGCTTAATTATAATTATGAAATTGGATTAAGAATACATTTTTTATATTTTATATACTTAAATGCTGATGGTATTTCTCAAATATTCAACCTATACATTCATTCTATATGTATCATCTCGATCGAAGGATTGTAAATAAAATTAAACGAATTAATAAAATTAAACATAACATAAAATATAAATACTCAAATATAAACATTCCGGCCAATTGGCCAGTTATAAGCTAGTTATAGAATATAAGGCCATAGGAGCTCTTCGACGGACATTAATGGCGAAGATCTACCATTGTTTCGGTAATGCGTAAATGCCTTGTTAGTTGTTTGTTAAGATTTATGGTGTAGAATGTGACAGTCTACAGTACAGTCAGAAATCCAACAACTGTTTGTGAATGCGAATGCACGGCAGGGGCTGTGCCTATATCAGGTGTAGCCGAGCGAGTCCTTGATTTTATGGAGCCCAATTCAAAATGGTCTTGAGTTACGGGCTTGATTAAGTTGGGCCACCTCTAGTCTTTAGACCCAATGCAGAATATTTACTTGTTTGCTTAGCCCAAGTAGTCAAACCATGGTCACAAGAGGGACACCCTCTAGGGATGGCTATAGAACCTGAATCCGCGGGTACCCCACCCGACCCTATTCAGTCAACGCGGGTAAAACCCACTTTGACAGATTATGGATCGGGTTCGGGTTTAAACCCGCTATACTTTTTGACTGTTGGGTTTGGGTTTAGCCATATCCAATTTGTGGATACCCGCACCCAAGTCCATACCCCCACGAAACCCTTAACTAATTAACTATAATTTCTAAACTAATTCCTCACACGTTCAATTAATCATATTGTTTGTTAATATTTACCTTTAATATTGAACAATTAGTATGAATGATTTGTGAATTAGTGTGTATGTAGTAGACAATGGTAGTGAAAACTAGTGTAATTGCATCTTTGTACATGAACCCGCGGATAGCCGGATACCCAGCCGGTTGGGTTGGGTTTGAGTTTTCCAAACCCATGTGAACAGAGGTCGAGCGCGAGACCAGAACTAATCTTCGTATTTTATCACCTGTAAAATCTGAATCCCTAACTCGAAAGGTCAAGTGAGATAATCAAGTTGGAGAGATGAAGTAAATCGATGGAATGTAATAGATAGGTTAATTTGAATGGGCCCGGTTTTGTAGCTGATAATTAAATGGGCCAAAACACTGATTGATAATAAGACTGAAAGCCTCAAAACGAGGCCTGCTTCTCAAGCCCTTCAGTTTTTCTAAAGCAAACTCTGTTTTTTTTTTCCTTTTCTCCTCTATTCTGCAATTTCAGGGTACCTGGTGAAGCCACGAGACAGAGTGGTGGTATCCAGCGCATGGAGAATAAGGATCCCTACTCCGACTAATCCACTGTTGAAGTATCTCGGTTTGAGATCTTCAACGTTTCACTAATAATTTTCATCTTTGAAGTTCTTGATTACAATTCAGACTAACACACACCCAACTTTCTGCTGACCAAACCAACCTAATCAAGCTGTTTGTTAAGAACTCCCCGTTCCCAAACACCCCTGACTAGCTCACAAGCAATCTCACATATTTGCTCTCTTTTTCTCTCAAAAGCCTATAGCCAAATCCCTTGCTCTCTACTTTTGAATGTTCGAAAAAGGTTGTTGTAGTCTTCTCATTGATTCCTTCTTATACTCATGGTCCACAACATCTCTTTTAGGGACTTTCCTTCTTTGGCTTGAATGTAGAAATGGTAGTCACCATGGTTTGAGTTGTTTCCATATCGCTCTTGTAGAACGTTGGTAGGCATTGACTTAGCTTCCTTCAACATGCTCCCCCTAAACTTGTCAATGGCTCCTTAACCGCTGCTGGGCAACATCCACCTGCACTCACTTAGCAAAAAATTGGTGCAGCCTGCTCTACTTAACACGACATTCATTTGATTTTTCTTACAAGAGGCCATTTTATTCACTAAGAAAATTTAATAAGCATACAGGGAGAAACTAGGGCTACTTTTTGTTCTAGGTAGCTTAGACCTAGACATAAGACTGAAACTAGAAAGGAACCTAAGGGAGACGGAACAATCAACTAGAATGGATATTCAGGAGGAGGGTCATAGTCATATATGTCATCGTTCTCTTCAGGTTCTTTGAAAACTTCATCTTCCTCCCTGATCCTGGAAGAACTTGCTCCCCCTCCATCGTTGATGTGCTTCAAACGGGTGGACATATAGGTTAGATAAGATAATGAGATATTGCGCTTCCCCTTAAGATTCTCATTAGAGAGACCAGTTATCTCTCGATCGATGACCACTTCAGCAACATATACCAAGGCTTGACAAGAGCAACAACCTCTCCCCCTAAGCCAGTGACAGGCTTGCTGGGACCGGTGTTGGCATCAAGACGAGCACAGACGTGTTGAGCCTTGAGGTCGTCATGAATGTTGCACAGGGTGACTTTGTCGTGGAGGTCGACTCCCAACCGACGAAGCAGCCTGGTGATGAGGGGTGCCAAGGGCAATCAGCCATCATAGTTGTCATCCCCATACTTGACTAGAGGACATAAGACCTAAGAGGCATAGCTGATAGGCTATCCAGAACGCCCATGATTGAGGATCCAAAGATCTGAGGAGTGAAGCAGAGTGACAATCGAGAAAGATCGAGGAAGAAGGACCCGAGTGATGAAGAAGTGAAAGACACACATATCATCTGAAAGACGATCAACAACCAACATGTTGGGAAAGTAGCGACCAATGTCATGAGTAAGAGTATTTAGAGCATGATCGAAATCAAAACCATAATCATGGAACTGACCATCATCCCCCACATTGAGACCAATGTGAGGCAATCCCAGCTCGCTAGCAAGCAGATCGGTCGTAACCGTAATCTCAAAATTCCCAACAGCGGTCTTGAAGGAGTAGAGATCTGGTCCAGGCTTGAGATTGACGCAGAACATTCACACAGCTTCTGGGCAGTAGGTGAATTGTTGATGCTCAAACAAGGACTCCCAGCCAAGATTGAGAATGAGACCAGAGACGTCCATATCATATTTGGAGAAGGCAGATGGCTGAATAGTGAAGGAAAGATAAATAGCACATTCGCGAAAGCGACACACATACCTCGAATTCTCCTTGTCCTTGCGAAAAACCTTGTTGGAGAAGGTAACAGCAGGATGGAGTTGAGCATTGTTCAGCACCATGATGAATAAGTGGGAAGCAAACAAAAGAAGCGAAGGTTGATGAGTGAAGAGTCAGAGAAGCTAGAAAGGTTCTTATAGAATAGATGGTGTGAAGAAGGAGGAGAAGGGAGGTAATTCAACATAATTACCTAAACTCCAAGAATTAATTAGCCGGCACAGGGAAGGAAAGTGAATCGGCAGTAGAAGGGCAATAATTGATTCAGAGAAGATCAGCCAAATCTTCACTAGAAAATAATCCTAATTTGCGCCTAATATGAAGGAACTTGGCTTAGGTCTCCGATAATTTGAGAAGGTGGATGCTTCTTCCGAATATGAGGAGGTGCTTTTGGTTCGTGTATCTTTCCACTTCCTTCGATTGAATTTACTTCTTCCCTGGTTGTCATGGTATCCTTGAGCAGATTGCTACCAAGTCCAAAGTCGTCATCATCTTCTATTACTTCTGAACATAACAATTCTTATGTATGGATTCTATATGTTTAAGACAATGATTAAAAAGGTTATTAGCCCTGTTTTCTTTAGCTGTACGTTTCCTGCAATTGCTTATGTGGTGACCAAGATGATGACAGTAGTAGCATTCAATTATTTTTCTAGAGTTTGACTTCCCGGAAGTCATTGATTTTTTTCTAATTCTTTTCTTGTTGCTAATCTGCCCTTCTCTAGAAGTTTTACTTTGTCGTCAGCTAGTGTAAGTTTGCCCTTAAGAATTTTATTTTCATCTAAGGCTTCTTTTAGAGTAGTTTCTAGTTTTTGTTTTTCTGTCGTGACATTTTCATAGCTTGACAAAAGAGTTTCATATTCAGGCCGGATCCTTATGTGTTTTTGTTTGAAAATACTAAATTCCTTTTGTATGTCTCTTATAGTATCTAGCATTTGATCATCTTCGCAAAAAGAGTCAACGTAGTAGGATCTTACCTGAGATGCTTTGTCTTCTTTAGACTCTTCACCAATGGTCATGTAAGCCTCCTGTTGGCATATTTCATCCTCCTCTTCCTCACTGCAGCTCCAGGTTGCAGCGTAAGCCTTCTTCGTGAGAGGACAATCTACTTTTACGCGTCCCATTTTTCCACACTTATAGCAACCTGGTTGAGATTAAATTCTATTACCATTGCTTCTAGGGGTGGAAATCGGTACGGTATCGGTATGCCAATACCAAATACCGAAATCTGGAATGCCGAATTACACCCTAAAATCAATCCCAATCCCGATCCCTAAATATTTCGGTATCCCAATCGGCACCTCGGTATCCCAATCGGTATTATCGAATACAAAATTAATTACCTTTACAATTAATAATTAAATATATAAATTAGATTTTATTGTTTAATTTAGGGTAAAGCGACTAAGCAAAGAGTCTTGAGTTGCCTAGAGCTAACATTTCAAGTTCTTGTAATTGGTCATCTTTAATTTGACGAATATGAGGTTGAGAAACGACTAATACTAGTGTGAAATAGTGATGTAATGATCTATGTATAACTAAATGACACTCTTGGTGGTTGTGGGTCGCGTAGTAGTGGATGAGAGAGTCTAATTGAGAGGATAAAATACACACTAGCTTATATTTTGGTATTGATCGGTATATACCGATCCCAATCCCGTAATCCCTAATACCAAATAACAATTGAAATTCAATCCCAATCCCAATCCCACAAAATAATATGTGTATTCGGTAATACCAAATATAGACAAGTTTGGTACGATATTCCGTATATACCAAATACCAGTACCAAACTTCCAGCCCTAATTGCCCCTTCTCTTCTGTTCTTGTACCCAAATAAGTTTCTTTCCTTTTGATCTCTAATGTCTTCAGTTTTTCTTGGTGGACCTCCTTTTCTTTTATCTCTTCTCATCTTCAGTAACTTAGCAACGTGCTTGCTTAGCATTGCCAATTCATCATCTTCCATGTCTTCCAGATTCTCTAAGTCCTCTTCGTATGTCGAGACTTTGAACGCTATGTTGTGTTTCTCCTTTCTGGGTTTATCAGCTTCTTCCTTTTTTAGCTTTTCTTCATGTGTTATCAAGGATCCAATCAGCTCATCCAGACCGAGCCCAGTGAGATCTTTGGATTCCTCAATAACAGTGAACTCAGGAGTCCACCGTTTGGGAAGTGCCTAGAGAACCTTTCATACAAGATCAACACTAGCATATTCTACCTCCAAATTCCTTAAGCTATTTACGATTGTGGTCAATCGATCATTCATTTCTTTGATCGATTCTTCTGGATTCTTAATGAAGGACTCGAATTCTTGCTTAAGACTATTAATTCTGGAGATCTTAATAGGAGAAGTACCTTCGTGCGCGACTTGCAGCTTGTCCCAAATTTCTTTGGATGTTTTGCATTCAATAAATCTGTGATATTCTTCAAGCCCTAATGCACAGTACATTGGATTTGTTGCCTTAGAGTTTAGCTGAAAATTATTCTTGTCTTCTTCGGTCCACTTGCCCCAAACTTGCTTGACTTCCAACGGCCTATCCATCACGATATTCCACAAATCAGGATCGGTGGATCCGATGAACAACTCCATCCTGTTTCTCTAGTAGCTGTAATGAACTCCTTCAAACCGCGACGGGCGAGTTTGAGAGAATCCATCGGCCATGTAGATCCCACTTACATTCGCCAAACCCGAACTCATCTTCTCCGGAGGTTGTTAAGCCTTCTGCTGCCGGAGCCGGGCTCTGATACCACGTGTGAACAGAGGCCGAGTGCGAGACCAGAACTAATCTTCGTATTTTATCACCTATAAAATCTGAATCCCTGAAGCCACAAAACAGAGTGGTGGTATCCAGAGCAGGGAGAATAAGGATCCCTACGTCGACTAATACACGGTTGAAGTATCTCGGTTTGAGATCTTCAACGTTTTACTAATGATCTTCCTCTTTGAAGTTCTTGATTTCTATTCAGACTAACACACACCCAACTTTCTGCTGACCAAATCAACCCATTCCCAAACACCCCGGACTAGCTTACAAGCAATCTCACAGATTTGCTCTCTTTTTCTCTCAAAAGCCTATAGCCAAATCCCTTGCTCTCTGATTTTGAATGTTCGAAAAAGGTTGTTGTAGTCTTCTCATTGATTCCTTCTTATACTCATGGTCCACAACATCTCTTTTAGGGACTTTCCTTCTTTGGCTTGAATGTAGAAATGGTAGGAGATGACTAGATATTTGCACATGTTTTCCCCTTTGTTTCTTGATCGTTTAAGCTTGCATTATCGCTTCTTTGGCCTATTTTATGCTAGTTTGTGTTCCTTTGTCACATTTCAGGTCCTAGCATGTAAATTGAAGCATAGGCGCAAGTTTGAAGTCAATCGGAGATCATTTGCCAATTCGGGAGAAGAAACACGAGCATGACCTGAGGAATAATGGACTTCTACCTCATATTATGGAAAAATAATCATGGATTTTTGTCATGAAAAGAAAGAGGACGAGACTACGAGCGCCTGGGATCAAACGGCGACTGATTCGGAGTCCGGACGAGGGAGAAACGAAGCATTAAACAGAGGCTGAGCAAGCCACACGGGCACGACCCACACGGCCGTGTGAACTGGCCATGTGGCCGTGTGGAAATCACCGAGCCCTCACACGGGCATCTGGGAAAGTCACACGGCCGTGTGATCGGGAATTTCTGGTTAAAACCCGATTTTCAGCAAAAGGAAAGGGGAGAGCGGGGTTTTGGTTCCCAAACACCCAAGGGACGAACCCTAGAGAGAGAGAGAGCGACTTGGGAACATTCTTGGAGCTATTTTGGAGGATTTGTTCGCCATTGGAGCTCGGGAATCAAGCTTGGAGATGGAGATTGAAGATCTAGATCAGATTTCTGCAGTCTCTCTCTTCTCTATGGAGTAACTTCCCTTCACTTAGGTTTTGAGGAACCCTAGTTCAATGTGTTAGGATCTTTCTTGTATGAAGTTTTGGATGCTATATTGTTTGATTATAATCGATTGAGGCATGATTTATTGAGTCAATTGAATCTTGATCAAATTCTCTTGATTTCTGCTTTAACCTATGATAGATAGAATCTGATTAGGTTAAGAGAGCTTCCTTGATTGATAGTGGTGAATTGGTTGTGCGAGAGTCAATCAATTCACTGCTTTGTACTGGAATTCATTCCAGTAGTGGAGATCTGTGTGAATCGCCTTAGCAGTCTATCCCGGTGAAGGCTAGTCGCCTGCCGGGTATTCTGTCTAAGAGGGCTTGGTCAGCTTAAGAGATTCCAAGCTAATTTAGGATCTTCCGCAGTTTAATCAACAGTAGATCAACCAAAGTTAATTGAAACTTGGACCTAATTGAGGAGCTAGGGGGAATCATACCTAAGTGAGTTCCCAACTTGTAATTAGTAGAGTAGTTAGTAGAGTAGTTTATAAATCAATCCTTAATCTAGTTTGCTAGATAATGAACTGAAGCTGAGTAATAGTAACTCTAGAGACCCGTGGATTCGATATTTATTACTTGTGCCACTATACTGTAGTCCCTTTCATTGGTTACACTTGGCCATTGTTAGGTGTTGTGTTTTAGTGTGTCAGTAGGTCACCATGGTTTTAGTTCTTTCCATATCACTCTTGTAGAACATTGTGTTGCTTGGTGTAGAACGTTGGTAGGCATTGACTTAGCTTCCTTCAACAACCCAGTGGGTTTACCCTGGGTTTTTTTACTGGATAAACCCATGGGTTTGGGTTTGGCATAACCCGCCCCAACCTGACCCATTGCCATCCCTAACACCCTCTTCCACACAAATCAACCTCCACCTCCATGCAGAAAATTGAAGCATGTAAACTGACGTATTAGCATACATGTATATAGAGATCATAGAAAGATTTTTTTTTATGAATGGGTGAAATCTTATTTCATCAAATACGATCTTTTACACAGTTGCACGAGGTACAAACTCACAACATCCGCTTCACACCAGACAGAAAAACGAGGAAAAGAAAAAAAACTCAAAAACTCAAAACTAGCACAACTATAAACTATAAAGAACATGCCTCGGGACTATTCCTTATACC